ACCGGCTACCATGGTATATGTTTGTGTGTGTAGATCGTATGTGTACGTTGAAAGAATTACGCATATATAACGACGGCTTGTTTCATCTCGCTTCCTCATGCGTGCGCATTACATCACGTAAGGCGCGCAATCTGGCAGGAACACCGGCTGATCACGCACTTGAGTTGTGATACGAAGAAATATACGTATAATATATTATTCTGCGTATATCGGTGTACACATCTCTCGCGGGTGATCTTCCATGATTTTATTGAAAATATTTGAATAAGAATGTGCGTTTTATAAATTTGCTCCACCTTTTTTTTTTATATTTTATCTATGAAAATAAATTTGTATAAATTTGCGTTAGAAATATTTACGATAAATGATGATTAGTTTAGGTTTAAAGAATAACTTGAGCGTATTTAAAATTTAAAACTTTAAATACGAATACATATTTTGAGAATTTTTAATTTATATGGTAATTTAAATTGACACAAATTTAGAACTCTGAATGTACACATCACAATTTGCAAGTAAAAAAGTATTTATATTTATGTAAATTTTTTAAATTGTGTGCCAATAAGAGAGAAGACAGTGACAAATAATTTTACTTATGTTAGGTAAGCTTGAAATAAGAAGAATATTGAAGGAAAAAAGTAATGTAATAAAAATAATTATGTATTTTTCCACCCATACATAAAACGCAGTTAATGAGTCAAAGTATATTTAATTATATAATTCTTAATGACAAGCATGGTGATATAAACTTAGCAATTTTGAATTTTTTGTTTGTCAAATTTAAATTAATTTCTTGTAGCATGCCGAAAAACGAGAGCATTATATTAACATCAAAGAACCAATCGATCAAACGGATATATTATCTATTCTAAATAAAAACATTAAAAAATAAATAAAAATACAATATAAGAAACTGATAAATTGCTAATATTTTTTACTATTTAATAGTTTTATTGCAATCAATTATATAAAATCTTAAAAATAAATTGATTTAATTTAATAAAAATAAAATGAAATTATGTAACGACCATGTTAAGCATAAATTAACCAAATATTTGTTGATATAATTTTAATTATTTGTGTCTACGAGCAAAAAAATGTTCCAGAAAATTAAGATAGTAATGAGAGATCTGCGATTTCAAATTCGTTTATTTTGATTGTTTTATATGTTATAAGAAACTCTTCCAGAAATGCAAACTTTCGCCGACATTACGAGTTACATCTCGCTTATTTAATGCGAACTCTCACGTAAGATCAATTGGACAGTTCATGTATTCACATAATGTAACTTTTTAAACGCGGAAGTTTAAATAGTTGTTAAGAAATACGTCGGCCATATAATTTATCTTCAAATATTATATATAAAATTTTATGGTAACAATTATTGGCATCGTTTCTCTTTTCAACTCACGTATAGATAATTAGTTTTCTAGAACTTCTACAATTATTTCATGTGAAATCAATTTTATTAAAAATTATATTTGAAATATATTCAGATTTATTATACTTATACATAGAAAATTGTTTCGTTTTCATGTATTTTATTTTTGTCACGGCATGCGGTATCAGCAATTCATAAATAAGATCATTACTCAAAATTATTACTTTATTACTACTTTTTTTATTTATCACTATTACTTATTACTATTACTTTTATTACTGAATTGTTTAAATTGTTACCATAAAATTTTATATATAATATTGAAGATAAATTATATAACTGGCATATTTCTTAACAACTTTTCAGACTTTTATATTTAAAAAGTTACAACGTGCGTAATAAAAATGAAAATAAGAAAACAAAAGATCGGAAGCTCAAACGAAAAGCAATGAAAGAAAGATAGATATTATTTAAATGCTAATTTTTAAAACAATGACAGACAATTTCGCTGATTGAATTATATCACTAAATTACATCATTAAATTTTATATACTGAAATATGTTATACTATTTTCGATTTTTTCAATATTTACTATAAAAAAATATTGAAATACACCAGCAAGAAATATTAAATATCCAATGATCCAATGATTATTAAAGCAATTAGCTCCCCAACCCCCAACCCGATCAACGGGTGCTCTTTATAGAGAGAAGTGCAACAGGAAACACTTATTTGCGTTGAAGAGAGATAACATGATGGGATTATTTTATAAATGAAACTACGTTATTCTTTGCACAATATAGTGAAACATTTTGCAACAAAGCATAAACTTTAAACTTAGCAAGAATCGAACCATTCTATAGCTATAAAATATTTGCAAAAATAAATATAAATGAGATAAATATTTTTTAGTAACGAGATAATTAAATTTAAATTAATAAATATAAAATATAATTTAAAATATAAAAATTTAAAAACCCATTTAATATAACATTTATAATTCTTTTAATATCTTTTTACCTTCTGAAAATAACTAATTTAATTTAACAAAATCTATATATAATTATTATAAATAATTAAATTTAACATAATATTTATAATTCTTTCAATATTAATTATTCTTTTTAATATTGTGACACGAATACCTATTTTACCGCGTTACCTTATATACTTTTAATTATATTCACTATTTTAGTTGCAGTGTCTAGTTTCGTTTTTATATTTATGTAAAGTGCGAACTCGTTATACAGTAATGAAGTTCAGCAGTCCATAGTTCCTTCTTGCATGTAGTAAAAAATGATAATAAAATGTAGAAAAATGTAAAACATTTTTATGAATACATTGTTATTACGTCATATTAAATATATTTTATTTCGTTGAATATATATATAAATAAAAATTATATATAACCAACTAAAGTGTGTATTAATATTTCCTGATACTTTTATGTAAGTTATTTTTTTAAAAACCGGTCTCACGTTCTCATTCTATGCTATTCATTCTTTTTTCACATATTAATATACATTCCGTTATAATCAGAAACGAAATTTAAGTCATCGATATTTTAACGGCTAATGTATTATTGAAATTGAATCGGGAGACATGCTTACAATAATGCGACACTAGAATTTAGAATTTATGCAATACTGAGATATTGATTAATCTATGTTACTGTAAGATGATTTATAGTAAAAATAAATTGATACTGATAGTAAAGGTTTGAAATCAGTCATTATTTTCAATGATTAATTAAACTTTTTCTTATAATTTCTTTTTATATAATTTCCGTGTTACATAAATTTCCAGTATTATATTTTTACACCTATCTTTTTAATAATAATATATTAGTGTACAAAATATCCATGATTAATGTATTGTTCAATTATTAATCGAATGATATTATTCATTATGATAAATCTGCGATATTTTTTGTGTTCGCAAAATAATATAGATTATATAAATTGTCTTTCTTGTGAGTCACATTTTCGCGGTCTCTAATTTATAACTTCTATAAATTTGTACATCAATTTAAATGAGAAATATAGTCACGTAATTCCGTATGTTAAGAATATACACGCGGCATTACGTTCATGATACAAAAGACTACCTACTCTCTGTATATCTTTCTTGAGGGATATACTTAACAACAAAGAGAAATTGTTCAACCACGATTGAGATTGATTATGCGTGGGCGGGAAAAGCGCAACCTTTTGTATTGCAAACTACGAGAGTCTCTCGATAGGCACATATCACTGTTAATAAAGATGTATTTTTTATTCTCATATGCAAAAACCATATAATTATATATTATATTCTTTCTTTTTCTATTGTGTAAGAGAAATGTTCCAGTTTTCGTAAAAATCATATTTTTGTTCGCTATATCATTTTTCTTGAATATTTTTTATTATCATTTTATGAACCTTTAAACAAAATTTTTAATTTGTAAAAGTAACAATTTCCTACATTTCTTCTTATTCCTAATATCTTTTATTGCTCGTTTTTATTGCCATCTTATTGACCTTAATTTTTTTATTTGAAGATCGCCGCGTTTCTTTAACAAAAAATATAAAATATAAGAGCCTGCTTTGTTTAGTCGAATTATTCTAGTTATAAGTCACTCTTCAACATTTGAAGATTTATTGATAATATACAACATAATGCCAAATATCAATGCAATCTATATTTATTATTGCAGATTTTAAATGTATGTAAATTGTTTGCAAATAAATATAAATATTGTGGGAATAAAAAGATACAATTGTATCAGGAATAAAAAAAATACAATAAAAGATTCATGAAAAAGAATTAATAAATTTTTTCAGAAAATTTTCCTTTCAATGTGCATGTAATTAATCTCTATTTTATTGTAAATCTAAATTAAATTATATATAAACATTTTTAAGTAAAAATAAAATAATAAGAAATAATTTCTTTAAATAGCATATTTTTCGAAAGTTAACACATGTATATAAAAAAATTTACAATATTTTAAAATTTTGTATACGTATATTAAATCTTGTTTATACGAAATTTAAGAAATATTTATATATACACACATAATATATGTAATATAAAATATATAACTGACATTTCAATTTAGATAGTAAAAATTTATTAAAATAATTTATTTTTGCTATCTGGGTAATAAATTTTAGGAATTTATATTTCATAAATAATAATTTATACACAAACATGGAGTCATTATTCATTATCTGTAATATGATATTCTCTTTTAGTTAAAATTTCAATGAAATTGTCAAAACAAAAAAGCAATTAACAAATTAAAAGAATTTTTAAAGATTTAATTTGACATTTTTTAATTTTACATAATTAAATATCATGAATAATCAGTAAATTAAATATCAAATTTTAGCTGAATATATTTGCATGCTGTATACTCAAATAGCAAACTGACGTCATTATACGTCAAAATAATGTCACTTTGACATCTAATGACGTTATTCGATGTCAAAATGACGTACACTTGCTACCTGCGGGATATATGTCGTATAAATGAGAGTGTATGCACATATGAATATCGAAAATAAAAACATAAATTTTGTGAAAGTCATAGCAAAATACAATATTATTCCATAGTCATTAATCGTTTTGACTTACCTTTTTCCTTATAGACGTTTCACAGCTGATTTGGGATGCTAGAGCCGGTACGAACTTCTTTCGCCGGGACGACAAACACGAAGCTCAAACAATGGGTAGCAAGATGTGGTTCTTTCCCGCCAATATACGACGATTTTTCCGATGATTTCCGTTTCGTCGTCGCTTAACTTCGTCGTTTGCAGAATATTTTAGATGAATTGTAGATGTGGACACTCGACCTACGATAACGAACGACGAGAAAAGGACTGCGAAATCGGTACCACGCGACGAGAGTTAAATATTATTCGCGGTGTTTCTAGAGAGAGAGAGAAAAATGAAGAAAGAGAGAGGGAAAGAAACTATAGGTGCTACCGCTGGCGCTACCGTGCGGTCACTCGGCAAATTAGCGGAGCCGTCAAATGACACGTGACATCTTCGTGCGTGGATTTCAAAGTATACGCGCAATATCATGAATTTGCAATACATATTATACAAATATATGTATATACACACACACACACACACACACACACACATATGTATACACTAGACAACATAAGCGCGTGCTTATAATTTATAATTTGCATATAACACATTTAATAATCTCATATTATAAAAATTTTAAACTGCTTGTATCAAGCGTGATTTTTAATAGCTTTTTTCATATACAGATATTTAACAGTCTCGTTGAGCTTGTTTTATTTTTAATGTAAAATTGCTAGCCAACATGAAGAAACATTAATTAATTATTTACAATTAACGCAAAGCGCTTGCAAGCAAAGAAGATTTAGAAAAATGTACACAACAATCTCAAAGATTGTTGCAATCCAAGAACCAAAGACAAAAAAACGTGGATTAAAAATTTTGAGGTAATTATGTGACAATCTCAAAGAAATTATTGTAAAATATTCGTTGACACTTCAATCGCAATAATGCAGAGCAAATTTGAAAGAGCAAAAATTTATAAGCGCAAATTTTTATGTTGCCATTTATTAGACATAATTATGTACCTAATTATATTACAAAAAGATTAGAATATAAATAATGACAATTTAAAATTGTGTGATAAACACAAAATGAGAATAGAATGATTAATATGCTTGCAAATTTTTATTTTTTGTTTTTTTTTAAATTTGCATTTTTGGTGTTACAATGATCAAAGTAGTAAATAGTAGTAGTTAATATTGCAATAATTTATGCGATCGTTGCATACATTTTTATATTTTTCGCTTGCAAGCGCTTGGCGCTAACGAATTAATTAATATACTTCATAATTGTTGGCAATTTTACAATGAAAATTATACTTCTCATTTTTAATAATAGATGCATATATATATATATATATATATATATAAACTATTAAAAATCACGCTTAATGTAAGTAGTTTAAAAAATAAATTTTTATAAGATGAGATTATTAAACGTATTATGATGTTAGTAAAAATTAATAATTATTAAAGTTATAAAGTTATAACTTTTTCACTTTTCTATTTTGCAATAAGTGCGGATACATAAAAATTAATATGTTTAGTTTTGTTTACTTGTAAAATTGTTAGAAGTTACTTATAAACATTAATCAATTGTGAATTATGTATATTAGAAATTATAAGCGCGCGCTTGTTTTGTCTAGCAGCTGTCATCGTAAGGGTTAATAATTTGACAGTTCATCAAAATAAAATTAAATAATACATAATTATAAAATAATTACATAAAATCATTACATAAAATCGCGTAAAAAACGCGCGCTTGTAAATATATATACAAATTTTGTTGAATATATAAATTCAAAGACAACATAGAAATTTAAAATAGTTTATCATTCTAAAATATTATATTATATATTAATATTAATATTAATATTAATATATTATATTTTATTTAAGATTAAATATTCGGCTTAGTGTACAGCTTTGACTTCGACATATATATTATTAAAATCGTGATTGTGGAGTAACTTTCAAATAATTTTAACTCTTCTCATTGTTTATTCATTATTTGTAAAAGTTATTAACAAATAAAGATGCATGTAAAACAAGACATAAAAACTGATATAATGAAAAATTCAATATTTGACGTAGCTATATGTACACACATACTTAACCAATATTTAAATAGATTTTTATATAAGATGTTTAAAATTGAAAAAAATAATACATGAGTGAGAGAAGCGGATTTACTCGGAGGATTTAAAAATTTTCGAGGTTTATCCGGTGCTTTTGAGAGTGCAAAACGAGATCTATAACTATATCCACATGAGCTTGTAATTTTTTGCGCGAAGTTAGGTCACATCGCGGATTTTCATATAAAATAAAATTTGTAATTTTATCGATTCCATATAGATTTATAATTTCTTGCGTGAAATAATGCAATGTAATGTAATCTTACATTATTCATTTTAAAGGTAGATAGTTTAAAAAATGACTTTCAAATGAATAATGTGGACTTTGCTTTGCGCTGAAAAAATCTATATAAACTGTTAATTATAGACAGCATTTCAAATTGAAAGCATTGAATAACGCGAATAAAGCTTGGTTAACGGAAAGTGAGAATATTCTCAGTTCATATCTCCTGTCTTTTTGGATGATTGCAAACTCTTGTGTTATTATAGATTATATAGAATATAAATATATAAATCTATAGTATATTAAATGTCTAATAAGAAATGTTTTATAGTATAATTATATATTATAATTATATCTCAAGTAGAATAAAAAAGTCAAAATAATGTCAATTTGACGTCATTTGAATTCCAAATTTGATCAATATGACGTCAAAATGATATTATTTTGATTTTCTGTTCTACTTGGGATTTAAATGCGAGAAAATAAATTTATACGAAATTAATTAAAGAATTACAAATACTTATCGAAAAAATTGATTAGTCAATTGATTGGTGGTGGCGTGATTTTCGCAGAGATGATCAAAGTACATATATGTATATCATTCAGCACGGAAGTGCGAATGTAAAAAGTTCCGAATAGCAAACGTACGTAATATGCACTTGTTGACATTGGACATTTTTATCGCACAAACGCAGTCACACGATAACGATATTGCATAATTTTTATATTATAATTATATCAAATAATCGTACTAAAATAAAAGAGAAAAACTATCTTATCTGGAGCACGCTCAAATATGTTATACAATAATATTCAATAGATATGAGCACGATATATTGGCACAACATATTTTTCTTCGATTTGTTTTATATACTTAAAAATAATTGATCATAAAAAGTAGCTTTAAAAAGCAGACTAAGATTTAATCGACCAAACTGGCAATTTATTCATTTAATTATACTGAATCACATAGCTTTAAGAACTTAGATATGCAAATAGGAATAGTATCGCGAAAAAACGTATTGTATAAAATGATTAGTATATATATAATTATTTATTCTAAATAAGTAGCCAGTGAGAAATGATAGTCGAATCGATGTCAAATTGATCAAATCAATGTCGAATTGACATTAATTCGACTAATGATTTCTCACTGGAGATTTATTTAATAACAGTCATGAAAAAAGATGAATGCCAGTTTTGTTCGAATAATACACTTACTCGAATCTTAAAGAAACGTCTTATTTCATAATACGTGTAATTAGTTTTTAACATATATACACACACATATATATAGAATGAAATTTTTTTCATTTAAAAAAAATAATTTTGTAATTTGTACTATTGTATACAAATATATGCAAATTGCAATTCTAGTTTTATCCTTTAGCAATTTTTAGTATATATTTTTATAATTTTGCGATTTCTCGCATGAATTATTTATAATCTTGCACGTTTGAATTTAGATAAGTACAAAATTACAGATAAGTACAAAAAATGAAAAGATATTTTTTTAATACTATAGCATATAATTTTGAGTATTGAACACGACTTTTGAACACGTTTCACGTGAACTGTATTCGCGCAATACGCAAAATTAGTCATGTACCATTAATAGATTACAGTAATCAATCATATAATGGATTATATTCGGCTAAAGTTCAAGCACAGTCCACGTGATTCAAGTAGCAAAGATCGCTGGTTGCAAAGATCGTCGTGTGCATGCGGTATGCATTAACCGCATCTGTGATACACCTACATATGCATATAGGTATACATATAAATTATTCATTATCTTTAAAGTCACGCTTCATATCACTTTGCATGCATTTTGTACTTGCGACATTTATTTATTTGCATATCCGAAGTTTCTTTTTATGTGACACTATGCGTTCAATAAAGCAATAAAAACTTCAAAGTTCAGTCTAATTCCTGTAATCTCTTTAAATTATAAAGTTAATTTGTATCCTATACCTTTTTTGATAATAATTTGTCCTATTCTATTATATTTAATTAAAGTGATATTTAATTATACTATATCTATTACATTAATATAATTTTCCATAAAAATTTGATTTTAAGATTATACAGAATTTACATATTATTGAAATATAAAAGACAAATCAATCAATAAATCTATATTTGATAAGATTGTTTATGTTGCTTTATAATTGCTATATAATATCTCAGAAATGCCGTAGTCATTGTGAGTAATATTCTTATAATTCTTGTTAATGCATTTAATTCTTCGTTGCCAAAGTCCGCTATAAATTGCAACATTAAGTTTATTCTTTGCAACTGCTGGCTACTTTAGTTTAAAGTTTATTTTTTTTATTCTATATTAAAAAGAAATAAACTCTGAACTAGTGCAGCCAGTTCAAGTAATAAGAACATATTCATCATATAATCAACGAAGATTTCAGCAATATTGCTACAAAAAGATAAATCATTACTTACAATACAATATAAAGTGTATAAATCTACATATGTATATATACATATATAATTAAATAAAATTAATTAGTGAGCTATTATTGTGCATATAGCCTTACAAAAAAACATTTGATTCAAGACGTTTATTGTTACATGTTTAATTGTGTTAGCAAGAAAAAATTTAATTTATTATATTTTTATGATGCAATTTAAAAGGTACGAATTAAACAACTGATTTCTTTCAAATCGTATCTTCTTCAAAAATAATTTTGCATATGGAAATAATAAAAAACTAATAAGAAAAATAGAGTTATACACTAATATATATTTATGCATGATAAAAACAAAATAAAGAATTATCTATATATAATAATTTAAAAATAACATTCATATAAATATTAATTTTTGTCTTACATTAAATCATGGTGCATTTTTTGCTTCTCATCTCGTCTTCGATCGTTTTGAGAATTTAGGCGAAGACGTTAAGCGGGATAAAGATCGAAATATACATTTTTTATTAATTAATCTGCTGAAGATGGCCGAAAAAAATACTGATGTTCAAATCAAATAAAGATTTTAAGACAAATATATTACGATCTAATTTCTTTACGATGGCTCTTATTAGCGTATTTCCTTACTGCATTTTTGTATTTATACTTATTTTGTATTTGTATATATTAAAGTCTTTTCGTTTTATTATTAATTATATAAAATATAAATAAATTATTATTTATAATAATATAAAAAAATAAGGAATACATCAATCATATACTAATAATAAATTCTATAACTGGTCATTAATTAGAAACAAATCTGTGAAAACAAATAAAAAATATAGATACATTTTTTACAGGCTTTCGTCTTCAAGGAAATATATTTTAAAGATTAAAAAATTGATTGGGGCGTTATATTTAATTTTGATTTTGAAACAATTATTGGATTATAATTAGTAACTCATTTCATTTTTGTAATTGTTTTGAAGAACACGTTTTTCACCATTTCTGGAGATGCAGTTTTTAAATCATAAGCTAAACCTAGATAAGCGCAAAACTCGATTAAAGCTGTGGTATAACTGAAATCACGTCCAAATTCCGCAGCTTTGTAATCCCAAGGAAAGACATGGTGATAATTGTGCCAGCCTTCGCCTAACGTTATCATAGATACACTAGCGTTGTCGGTGGGGGTGATTGTTCTATACGATAGAATAAACATTTCTAATCAACAACACGATTAAATTGCCATAAGCCGTTAGCTAATTTTAAATAAAAAGCCTATAATAAGTCGCATACAAAAGTACATACGTATCATATGGCTTTACACCATACATATGTGCAAAGGAATTCACGGACCACGTTATATTTAAGTTTATGCCATATCTGCCTACGGCCATGTGCCACGCATACCATAAACTTTCATTCCATCCCCAAACAGGGACTGTCAGTGGCACAATAAAGCAGCAAACTAGCATCAAAAGTAGGTACCATCTAAAAAAAAGATGCGAATAAAAGAAATAATATTAATAAAGTCAGGTGAACGTTAATATTGATCTAATTTGCTCTCGTAAAAGCTGTATCTGTCGTACTTTCTTTGAAAAGTCACAATGGGATCTTGTTCAATATCACTCATGTCGATCGTCGCACCTTTCTTGACGACTTCCGAATGTTTACGAAGCATAAGCCATCCGATATGCGAGAAAAAAAATCCTCTCTTTGAGTTATACGGATCCGCATTAGTGTCGGTAAATTTGTGGTGCACTCTGTGATCCCTGACCCATACGTAAATGTCATCCTAAAAATATATTTATTATTATTATTATTAAAAATTGAACAATATCGAAATTACGAAAGAAAAAACCAAAATATAAATCTATAATCAGTACCACAAAAGTGAGGCATGTGTGATATTTGAACGTGGAAGAAAAAATTAAGATTTGACTTACTTGAAAAGCAGCCGTCTGTAAAATCATAAGAATAAATCTTAACGGCCACTTTGCCTTATAAGATCGATGACACCATAATCTATGAGCGCCAGCAGTGACGCCAAAACCCGTACCAACACCAATTGCGTAGACTATAAAATTAGGAATTACAAATAATGATTCGATAATATATATTTCCTTATTGTATTATATATAATATACGTAATATAATTTAAAAGTTTATGAAATAATGGCATATATAAATAAAACACGTACACCAGATAAACGTCCAAAGTTTTCCATAAAAAAAAGCTACATATAGACCGTAAATAATTGTAACATGAATATAAATGAAAATAATGACATTTCTCCAAACAAGTTTCCATTCATAATCAGTCTTATGCGACCCTTTCGCCGATACTTCATCGTTTACACTTTCTTTAAATTTCATTTCAAATTGTTCCAATATATCGAGTGTCATACTGCAAAAAAATTATATTTAACATATATGTATTATAGTAAAGTATAGTCTCTATTATATAATTCTGCACTTGCAATATTCTGTACTTTATGTTAAAAGCATAATAATTATGTATTTATGTTAAAAACATAATAATTATGTATTTATGTTAAAAATATAATATAATTTCTTATCATATAATTTCATTGTCATTAACTATTCTGCACAGTTATTACTTTATCGATTTCCATTTTAAGATTATGCAATACCTGTTACTTGTAAAAATAAATATCTTTAAGAAATTTTATATTTTATGTTACAATATATATCAAAGTATTCTTTCCATGTTGAAGAACACGTATGCACGTACGTATACACAAAACACGAAATATAATTTAAAAAATAAGAAACAAAAATTACGACAATCCATTTGCGTGATTCATTACATATAAGTGCTATAATGTATATTCTATATAAGTTATGCAAAATCTTGTAACAGTTTTTGAATATAAGATATTTGAATCGTCAATTTTTTAATATTATGATACCATTTTTAACATAGACAAAATTAAAAGGAATATTTTGTCATTATATATTTTAATTTTTATTATAATCAATTAATTTTGTAAAAATGTCAATATAAATATAAACGGCAAATTAGCAATTGCATAGTATATATCATATAATATTTTTCCGATTTACGTTTATAATTTTTAAAAACTATAATAACACTGCAAAAGATAAATTATTTTTATTAAAAATAATTTGTTTAACATAATATTAATACAATAATTCTTTAACTAACAATAAGTGTAAAATAGAACAGATAGCTTACTATACAAAATCCAAAAAAATAAAGCTAAATCCACAAGTTAATTGCTCACACACTTCAATATGACTAAAATGTTCGTCTGTCAATAAAATTCTGCTTTATTATCACTTACTCGATATATATAATAACCCGGAAGCACAGCATAAAGCCATTATTTCGTTGAAATTTACACATTCAGACATTATTCGGAAATTTACATAATGATTAAGACCACAATATACATTAGGACAAAAATAGGGTTCATTTGCCTACGGTCAGATTAGTAAGGTCAAATTAAATCAGAGCGGAAGCACAGGTATTTTCGTTGTATGAAAATAAAGTATGCAAAATCTTGCAAGAAAGCAATGAATAAGAATTTAATTGTCATTTAATCATATTATATAATAATAAAAAATATTCCATAATATTCCCCTTTTCTTACAAACCACGTTAAAATATAATAACATAAAAATTTAACAAATTTTTTAATCTAATCTAATAACTACGATGTAGATAGAAAGCGTGCTTATCTTATATTATATATAATATACGTTTTTTAAACATTCCTTTTAAATACATGCGATTAAGAAGAAACATTGCAATACTATATATAATCAGTAAATTAATTGGTAAGAAAATGTAAAAACAAAAATTATGTGTCGCACTAGAATTTAGATAAAAGATTTGAACAAATTTCTATTCAATTTGAACAATTTGAGCTTCAAATTCGAATAATTTGAACAGAGATTAATAGTCTGTTTGATTCAATTAAAACTACACGAATATTGTGAATTCTAAAGAAATTTTATTAACGATAATATTTACTGTAGACAGAAAATACAAAATAAATTTATTATTTCATTATCATAGTACTTCCTCTAGTTTTACATCATATGTATATTGTCTCGAAATCAGTTTGAACTGATTAAACTATTCAAATATATTCTCAAATTAAATGAATAATTTAAATTTCGATTACGAAATTCGTCTGCTCGAATTGTTCAATTTCCTTAAAACATCAAATATTACTCTATTTTAAAATATATGGTCGATTTAATAGAATCATTGATACTTTTAATCCTGGAAAAGTATAATAAATCTGTTGATGATAAATGTTCAGTTTAATCATCGTTCGTCATCGGATAATCTGCTGCTGAATTAAAAAAAACGTGACAAAAATTATTAATCCATTTTGCTATTTGGGTGCGATACACTTTGCAGAGAATGACTCCTATCACCTTTCTTCATTACGAAGGTTCTTACGAGTTCTTCGGAAGGTTGTTTGAGATCATACGCCCAGCCGATTTTTGAGAAGGCATCGATGAACATCGTGGTTAGGTTGAGCGTGTAATTTCCTAATTTGGCCGCCTTGTAATCCCACGGAAACACGTGATGATAATTATGCCAGCCTTCACCGAGCGCTACAAAGGCGACGAATTTGTTTTCTGTCGGATTTATGTACCTGTCATTGAAATAAATTAGATAAAGTTATTTGAGCAAGAAAAAGACATTCAAGTTTTTTTCTGTTAAATTTATATATAGATAATTTCGTATAATTTCGGACGCATTTATCTGCTTACGCATCGTATGGCTTTGAACCCTAGATGTGAGCCACACTGTTAACACTCCATGTGCAATTTAAACCTAAAACGTAACGTATAATCTGTAACGTAAAGGCTCTAAACCAAGTTTAATTCCATCCATAAACAGGCACTATTACCGGTAGCAAAAAGGCAAAGACGAATTTAAATATCGAGAAATATCTGTGAAATAACACAACTTATTAATCAGTATATCTGTACATTTTCTCGTAATGTAATATGCATTTATGAAATGAAGTATATAAGTACAAATAAATTTTACACATCTTATGTTGCCTCTCAAATAACTATTTGGACATAATGCGAGATAATTATTAACTCTTTAACACATGTAGTCTTACTTGCAACCAAACGCGGTGATAGGATCGGCTAATATATCGCTCATATCGATTTGACGACCCTTTTGAATGACATCTGGATGTTTTTTCATCATCAACCAACCGACATGGGAGAAAAAAAATCCTCTGTTGCTATTATGTGGATCCGCGTCTGTGTCCGTGTATTTATGATGCACCCTATGATCTCGCACCCACTCATAAAGATTATTCTAAAAAACAGATTAACGTAAAGTTTTTTCTTTTTGCAATACAAAAACCAACTGAAAACTTTTTTACCTGACCAGCCGCAACATAATAAATGAAAAGTATAATATAATTCTGAGTGGCCATTTTGCTTTATAAGCTCGATGAGTCCAAAAACGATGAGCACCAGCAGTAATACCGATCCCTTGTATTACACACATGACGAGCACTTGATATAAAAAGGGTCAGTTAAATTAATTAGGATATTTATGAAATTAATGTATTACAATTAATAATATAACACATATTTCTCACAAATATAGTGTATCAAGAAGTTTATTATAAGAACACTTATAAATTAACAAATTATATTTTTATTCAACATAAAGCAAGTCATTTTTTCAAAAAATTATATAAAAATTTATTTCAAATTTGTAAGAATTTTATATAAAATCAAGTATATTATTTTTTTAATTTTAATATTCTCAAATTGGAATCATATATATGTATATATATATATAGACACATATGTATATATGTATACACCGAATTATTTTCACAATATGTTTTGTGATAATTGACGCGGATGACTGACGCAATGTCTGCAATCAAATAAAAGTTATACAATAGAAATGAAACTTTGGCTTGTCTTCTGTCAAGCTTTTTATCATGTTTCTCTTCTATCATGTAAGACTAATCGATTGGTTTTCGGCTAATGTCAGTCATTGTCGATTTCAGCAATTGACAACTACAGTATTCTTAGTAAACGCGCGTGTATACTTTTAATCAAATTATTGTTATACATGCTTTTACATATTTGTATAAAAAGTATAAAAAATAATCAGGTTTATTAAAAACAATTAATTAAAAAATGTTTATTTAAATTTTTTTTTAATTATTCTTCTGTAAGTCAAAAATTTAAATTAATGTTGTGCAATACTCCACAAAGAAAATACTCACTCCAAATGTTAGTCCTGAGATCTTCGAACCATTTAAAAGTGAAACAGGCATAAATCATGCTCATATGAAGAAAAATAATGGATATGACATTCAACCACTTCAACTTCGTATTGAACTTAAATAATCCTTCGGACTTTATATGCGTCGCGCTTCGGTTTTGTATACTATTTTCATTATCCGTTTTCTTCGTGGTGATTAAAGATTCCTCTTTTTGAAAATCTTCCTCCGCGTGTATTTCAGAATTTTTGCTCGAGATATTGGGTGCCATCTCTATTTACGAAAATCGCTGAACCAAAATATCACTTTATGCTACTGAAAAGCAGATTGCGACTTTCTTTCTAGAAAACGATATACAAATTAAATTAAATTTTCTCATGCCAATTAACAAATAGTATACATTTTAGTGCTTCAATAGAAAATCGTATACATCTTTCTACAATATTCTACTTGTTTTTTTATATTCCATTTTTTTAAATTATAATAAAGACTCGTTTTTCTTAATATATAATTAATACCTTTGCACTATCATAATTATAAGTAACAGTTAATTATCAGTCTCGCTATTTTATTATTAAAATATATATAATAGGAAAGACCAGGAACAAACGTAACATTTTGCTTATTTGTGTTGATATCTTCAATTTGCTTGTTTATTAATAAATCTGTTCTATCTCATAATAGTAATAGTCTGTTACTTTTGTCCCGTTTTAGATTTTTGCCACAATTGATCAAATATTTAATGTTATAAAATGAATTAAACTCAAAATATGCATCAAACTGTTTAAAGGAATAGTGACTCATTTATAATAAACAATAAATAAAGGGGTAAACTTCTAATACAATATTAAGAAATTAAGAAAACACAAAGTACTAACTTTGACCGTGTTTTTATAGCATCGATGTAATAAATACACAACTTTTCATAACACAGCTTTGAGCTCTACCGAGACAGGGATATATAAAATACGTTATACATATAAACGTGAATAGATTATATATCATATATGAATTTTTATGTCTAGTTATCGCGTTTGTCACATCCCCCCTACAAACACCAAGTAACAATTACATAACTGTTAGTTATAATTTTCCACTCAACAATGTAAATGCAATACAACACACGTGTTATATTGCATTTACATTGTTGAGTGGGGAATTATAACTAACAGTTATAAAATATGTTATATTAAAATCACATTCTACAATATATTTTAGAACAAAAATAGGGTTCATTTGCTTACGTTCGGATTAGTAAAGTCACATTATATCAGAGCGAAAGCACAAGTATTTTCGTTGTATGAAAATAAAGTATGCAAATTCTTGCAAGGGAGCAATAAACGAGAATTTAATCTTCATTTATTCATATATTATAATAATAAAAATATTCCATAATATTCCCTTTTTCTTACGAACAATATTAAAATAATATAAAAATTCAACAAATTTTTAAATCTAATCAAATAACTATGATGTATAGATAGAAAACGTGCTTATCTTATATATAATATCCGTTTATTTAACATTCCTTTTAAATACATGCGATAATGAAGAAGCATAACAATATTATATAATCAGTAAATTAATTGGTAAGAAAATGTAAAAACAAAAATTATGTGTCGCACCAGAATTTAGATAAAAAATTTGAAGATATTTCTATTCTATTTGAACAATTTGCTTCAAATTCGAATAATTTGAACAGAAATTAATAGTCTATTTGATGTCATTAAAACTATATAAATACTTTAAATTCTAAGGAAAATTTTTCAACGATAATTTATTGTAGACAGAAAATAAAAAATAAACTTATTATTTCTTTGTTTTATAGTACTTCCTCTAGTTTTACATCGTATGTATATTTTCTCGAAATCAGTTTGAACTGTGATTAAACTATTCAAATATATTCTCAAATTAAATGAATAATTTAAATTCGATTACGATTAAATTTCGATTACGAAATCCGTTTGCTTGAATTGTTCAATCTCCTTAAATACTACTTCAAATACTACTCTACTTTAAAGTATATGGTCGATTTAATTGAATTATTAATATTTTTAATCCTGCAAAAATATAATAAATCTGTTGATGATAAATGTTCAGCTTAATCATCGTTCGTCATCGGATAATCTGCTGCTGAATTAAAAAAAAAAACGCGACAGAAATTATTAATCCATTTTGCTATCTGGATGCGATACACTTTGCAGAGAATGACTCCCATCACCTTTCTTCATTACGACGGTTCTTACGAGTTCTTCGGAAGGTTGTTTGAGATCATACGCCCAGCCGATTTTTGAGAAGGCATCGATGAACATCGTGGTTAGGTTGAGCGTGTAATTTCCTAATTCGGCCGCCTTGTAATCCCACGGAAACACGTGATGATAATTATGCCAGCCTTCACCGAGCGCTACAAAGGCGACGAATTTGTTTTCTGTCGGATTTATGTACCTGTCATTGAAATAAATTAGATAAAGTTATTTGTGCAAGAAAAAGACTGAAGTTAGATTGAAGTTTTTTTCTGTTAAATTCATATATAGATAATTTCGTATAATTTCGGACGCATTTATCTGCTTACGCATCGTATGGCTTTGAACCCCAGATGTGAGCCACACTGTTAACACTCCATGTGCAATTTAAACTTAAAACGTAACGTATAATCTGTGACGTAAAGGCTCTGGACCAAGTTTCATTCCATCCATAAACAGGCACTATTAGCGGTAGCAAAAAGGCAAAGACGAATTTAAATATCGAGAAATATCTGTGAAATAACACAACTTATTAATCAGTATATCTGTACATTTTCTCGTAATGTAATATGCATTTATGAAATGAAGTATATAAGTACAAATAAATTTTACACATCTTATGTTGCCTCTCAAATAACTATTTGGACATAATGCGAGATAATTATTAACTCTTTAACACATGTAGTCTTACTTGCAACCAAACGCGGTGATAGGATCGGCTAATATATCGCTCATATCGATTTGACGACCCTTTTGAATGACATCTGGATGTTTCTTCATCATCAACCAACCGACATGGGAGAAAAAAAATCCTCTGTTGCTATTATGTGGATCCGCGTCTGTGTCCGTGTATTTATGATGCACCCTATGATCTCGCACCCACTCATAAAGATTATTCTAAAAAAAAGATTAACGTAAAGTTTTTTCTTTTTGCAATACAAAAACCAACTGAAAACTTTTTTACCTGACCAGCCGCAGCATAATAGATGAAAAGTATAATTCTGAGTGGCCATTTTGCTTTATAAGCTCGATGAGTCCAAAGACGATGAGCACCAGCAGTAACACCGATCGCTTGTATTATACACATGACGAGCACTTGATATAAGAAGGATCAGTTAAATTAATTAGAATATTTATGAAATTAATGTATTATAATTATTAATGTAATACATATTTCTCATAAATGTAGTGTGTCAAGAAGTTTATTATAAAAACACTTATAAATTAACAAATTATATTACAAAAGGTAATATCAGAAACAATACACATTAAACAACAAAAAAACAGTTTGAATCTTATAGATGATATTGATTTATTAGACAAGGCTTATTTCCCGATTTTAGACAAAATAAACAAAATATAAATAATTTCACCTTTTTCTAAATAATATATAAAGATTGAGAAAAAGATTTTGCGTATATTCAGCCTAATAATTGATAAAGAATAACACACTATTATGGAGATCGAGGCGAAAAATAAAAAGTTGTAAGTGTTTGCAATTTAACTAATATTAATTATATCTAATAAAATCCGTATAAAAGTTTAACTGTACGCTATTGTTACACATAGATCGAACATTAATTATTACCGACCACCGAAATTAATACGAAGAACATGGACATATTAATATATTTTACATTGCCAACAAGACAACTATAGCTTTAAGATGAAATTTATAGACTGTTATTATATGTAATTGTATTGAATTTAGCGATTGAGAAGTTACAAGTAAATGACGCGAAACGTCTTGCATGAATTTATTGTAAAATTTATATTTAAATACAATAATTATATATATTCATCCATATTTGCTCGTGTAAAAGCCTTTTTCTATTGTATTAATTTTTATTTGATACGAGCTTGATTACCACATTGTTTTAACAAATTATATTTTTATTCAACATAAAGCAAGTCAATTTTTCAAAAAATTATATAAAATTATATAAAAATTTATTTCAAATTTGTAAGAATTTTATATAAAATCAAGTATATTATTTTTTTAATTTTAATATTCTCAAATTGGAATCATATATATGTATATATATATAGACACATATGTATATATGTATACACCGAATTATTTTCACAATATGTTTTGTGATAATTGACGCGGATGACTGACGCAATGTCTGCAATCAAATAAAAGTTATACAATAGAAATGAAACTTTGGCTTGTCTTCTGTCAAGCTTTTTATCATGTTTCTTTTCTATCATGTAAGACTAATCGATTGCTTTTGGTTAATGTCAGTCATTGTCGATTTCAGCAATTGACAACTACAGTATTCTTAGTAAACGCGCGTGTACACTTTCAATCAACTTATTGTTATACATGCTTTTACATATTCGTACAAAAAGTATAAAAAATAATCAGTTTTATTAAAAACAATTAATTAAAAAATGTTTATTTAATTTTTTATTTAATTATTCTTCTGTAAGTCAAAAATTTAAATTAATGTTGTGCAATACTCCACAAAGAAAATACTCACTCCAAATGTTAGTCCTGAGATCTTCGGACCATTTAAAAGTGAAACAGGCATAAATCATGCTCATATGAAGAAAAATAATGGATATGACATTCAACCACTTCAACTCCGTATTGAACTTAAATAATTCTTTGAATTTTATATGTGTCGCGTTTCGATTTTGTATATTATTTTTATTATCCGTCCTCTTCGTGGTGATTAAAGATTCCTCTTTTTGAAAATCTTCCTCCGCGTGTATTTCAGAATTTTTGCTCGAGATATTGGGTGCCATCTCTATTTACGAAAATCACTGAACCGGTAATTCAAAATATCACTTTATGCTATTGAAAAGCAGAATGCGACTTTTTTTCTAGAACACGATATACAAATTAAATTAAATTTTCTCATGCCAATTAACAAATAGTATACATTTTAATGCTTCAATAGAAAATCGTACACATCGTTCTACAATATTCTACTTTTTTTTTACATTCTATCTTTTTAAATTATAATAAAGACTCGTTTTTCTTAATATATCATCTTCAAAATTAAAAATCTTCAAAAATTATCTCGATTAATTTTTCGTCAGTAAGAAACATTCATTTTGGAAGAAAGGCATCATGTTACTTCCTGAAAGGTGGGCCAAGATGGTTGAACAAAACGGTACATATTTGCTTAAATAAAGTTCCTCTTTGTGTAAAATATTGCGTTTAAATTTATATTGAAACAAACTTTCCGAACAACCTAATACATGCGAATATTTATTGTTTAGTTATCGCGTTTGTTACTTTGTCCCGCGTTACTTTAATCCCTGATCTCCCCTATATAATTCATATGACATATTGAAGATCGATAAATTTAAACACTGTACATATATTCATACAGCAATTTCTATACGAAATATTTATATAATTTGCACAGTTCAATAAAACGAGTCTTTTAAGAAAATTATACTAATTTATGAAGCATCTAATTGTTAATTCGTAAAAATTTTACCAAGAATCCAATGGTGCTTCTTAATCACAGGTTTCAATCACAATAACTGTACCGTTTTTTTTTGAATTGCATCCTCAGCATTTTTATAAATTGTGTTGTCAGCACATTGCTTATTCGTATGACAATTGATGCGCATGACTTATGCGAATGTAGATAATGCAAAATACAACAAAAATACATAAAAATTAAATACAAGGATATATACATTGACACATTTATGTAAACGAAAATTAATGTAAACTATTTTACAATGATCATCTTATTGCTTGTATTTTATGCAATATATAATAAAAACATAAGAGATATATCCAATCTCTAATTATTAAAAATAAAAAATATTTGTTTCAAAAATTTACGTATATATTAGCACATATAACATATAACATTTTGTGACATATTAACAATTGATACATTAATTATATCATGAAATAATTAAATAATAACAAGCAGGAAATTTGTGTGGAATCGTTTAATATAGATTTAGAATTATTGTATAATGTGTTTATTCATCTACTTTCTACTAAAATTACAATTAAAGAAAATATGACATTATTCATGTAATTAAATTACAAATGAAGAAGAGAATCTATTCTAATTATATACATAATTACATAATTAGATAAATTACATAAACGACTTTTGTCATTGCACAAAGATATAAATACAAAAATGAATTTTCAAGGTAAGTACCAGTATTTGTAATTAATTATTGTGAAATCTGTAATATTCTTGAAATACAAAACATCCATTAAAAATAAATAAAATAAATATAATTAATCTTCATCGATATTCATCTTTAAAAATTGTTAAAACATTAAAATTCACAAATAATAACGTACTACTTAACAAAAAACATTTGTAGAATTTTTTAATTTATTGTATAAAATATATATCTTTTAAATAATTATAATTTATTTAATATAAATATAATATAAACTTATACGCGCGCGATCCGCGTTATATTATAATATTTAACTTATTCGCCAATTTACTAAAGAATATATATCAAAATGTCATCACATCTTTTACAATGAATAAAATTTTAAACAAATAAAGATTTCTTTAGTTTTCATTAAGCACATTTTATTTAATGTTTAGTTTAAAAGAAAATTTTACACAAATTCTTTAAATTACAAAAACGACTTTTAAACCGAAGTAAAGTATGAAAACTTAACTTGCTCGGGTCATTAAAATTAGCTAACTTTGTTTCAGTTTGAACTTGTTCCATTAAATTTTTATCTTTCCATTTTGTAATTTTTCCCTATGGAATTACGTTAATGGCTAATAATGACTATTATTCAACTAATTTACTTATGGAGTCTCCTGATGCTTATCTTCGAATGCTACGAACGGAACCGACATTCTAAAAATATTAATTGTTAGTATGTGATCGGTTTCATTACTGATCCTGTCTTTTATTGTTAGGATTATAATAATAAACCGTGTAAATCATTTGCAACTATACTGATAGAAAATATTAGAATCTGTAAGTCTTATATTAACAAGAGATTATTATATTTATTATAATAAAAATTCTTAGTTACATGTACAATTCGTTAGTAATATGTGAAATTTAAGAAACAGAGTTGTGAAAATTTATTATAACTTTTTCTACATCTGTGTATTTGTGTGTGTATTTACAGGTTTCTTTGTAAATTCAATTATTTTATAAAAATAGTCTAGTTTTTGTATAAAGTCGCAAATTACAAGATAAATATTTTATAAAAAATGTAGATTTCTTTAAAAAAAGTGTTTCTTTTTTCTAAAGAAAAAGACTATTACGTAAAAAGATCTTGATATGCAAATATATTATTAATGTCATATGTGTAAAATAACTTTTATTCTTACTACATACATTTGTTCTTACTTTTAAATAGTATAGAAATACTTTTATTCTTACTACATACTTACATATATTTATTCTGTAAAATTGAAAAAAATAAAAAGATAATTTACGTGTTAAAAGATTAAGAAGACTGTACTTGATTCTTTATCAGGAGTGACGCGCACGAAATCGTGAATTATTTTTGCTTTTTCCTTCGTTGCAGCAATTAACGTCAAGATTTCTTCTTTTTCGTCAAAAATTCATTATCTTGTTGACGGTGTACGTCAACGTGGCATTTGGATGATGAATTAAAAATTTGACAAGTCTCGACGAGCGATGGCACATCACGATTGTTATACGTAACTTTTACATTCCTGAAATCGCTTGTTTATCAGTAACAAAATTAAACAACCAAATAACGTATAACTAAAAATCAGAATTGCTTCAGTATACACATATATGTAATATCCAAATTCAATAATGTCCCGTATCATCATTTTTTTATTTATTAAAGTCAGTGCGTGATAAACAGGATTAAACTTCCAAATAATTTTAAATAAAATAATATTCTTATGAATTTTTCAGATTTTAATAATGTTGCCGATTGTGCTCAGAAAAGCAAAGTTTATACAAATAATGTTAATGGTGGTCCACATTGCCGCAAAACCTTGCTTTTTCACATCACCATTGACGTTACAAATGGTATTAGAATATGCGGAATGGCGATCTTGGAACCAAGTAGTTCTCTTCGATAATATCAGCCCATTCAGTAAGTGTTCTGGACTTTTGTTAGTAAATTTTGAAGGGAGAACGATATCTTACGAAATTACAGTCGGATTTATTTTTACCTCTAGTAAGCAAGAAATAAATCATACATATTCTTTAACTTTTTTATTTCACTTTACAAAAATCAATGTGTAGCATATTTAACATTTAAAAGTTAACATGTTTTTAAAGAGTTCGCATAAAAGAAATTCTTTGATGAAATATCCGTTATATTTTTGAAAAGAATCCGTAGTTGGGAGAAAAAGCATTCGAATCGTACTATCAATTAAAAATGTCGACAGTACGAATAGATTTAATTGATTGCGAGCGAATGTAGGTTGTGCCCTTAGTTATGTCCGGCCGTTGATCAAGTGCTTTGGTGGAAAGGGCATCAGTGTGTCCCTACAATCGGCAACAAATCCAAATATCCCGGATGCTCTTACGATTCCAACGCATCGCATCGGCTCGATCGTATTCTTGGACGGACTCAATCTGACGTCACCTGATAATGTTATTCAAGTGGTAGTATGACCTTTTAATATTTATACATAATATATCTGAAAAAAAAAATTAGCATTTTTAGAATATTTAAATTATATATATATTTGTAATCTTCTGTTTAAATATCATATAAATATGCCGAATATTTGTGTTACGTTGGCAAAAAAATTAATTTATGTGACTAATTCCCAATGGCGTAATAATCGACTTTGATAATGACAAGATAAAACAATTAATTGATGAATTATTCCCTACGGAAGACTTAGATAGTATGATTATGCTTCTACTGTCTAGATAAACATCTCATAGTCAATAATTCTGTTTTATGATAAGATTTACATCTCTACACCATTTTACCAAAATTTATGTTGTCGATTTCATTTAAATTTTTTTATTCTTCATTAACTTTATTTATTAATATTTTATTTATAACTTGTATTTTTAATTATTACAAGCTTCGCGTTATCTTTTTTTTAATTTAATATTATTTAAATCTCAATCAAATATCAATTTTTTTCTTCGATTAAATATATTTAAAACATATATATTTTATAAATTAAACTTCGGCTCGTATACAATTAAAATATGTGATATAATAAAAGGCCAACTTAACGAGCTTATATGCTATTAATTGAAAAATTTTTTTATTAATTTACGTCATAATATACAAAAGTTAAGATAAACGTTTCGACTGTACGACAGTCTTTTTCAATATCCTAATAATATGTCAAAAAATTAATTTAGTCATATCGACCTTATTATAAATACAACATTTATGAGATTATATGACGAACGCAGTACAAAATTCATGTTTGTTGGCATGAGTTAGAGCGTCAGATTTATGTATGTCATGCTGTTATATTATGTGACGACACTGTGAACAAATTAATATATCCGCTCAAATATTACATTTAGATTTTTAATAAATAGTTATTTATTAAATCCGCTCAAATATTACATTTAGATTTTTAATAAATAACTATTTATTAAAAATCTAAATGTAATATTTGAGCGGATATATTAATTTGTTCACAGTGTCGTTACATAATATAACAGCATGACATACATAAATCTGACGCTCTAACTCATGCCAACAAACATGAATTTTGTACTGCGTTCGTCATATAATCTCATAAATGTTGTATTTATAATAAGGTCGATATGACTAAATTAATTTTTTGACATATTATTAGGATATTGAAAAAGACTGTCGTACAGTCGAAACGTTTATCTTAACTTTTGTATATTATGACGTAAATTAATAAAAAAATTTTTCAATTAATAGCATATAAGCTCGTTAAGTTGGCCTTTTATTATATCACATATTTAAAACAATTTAAAAATATAATATCTACAAATTAGCGAAAAATGCCCATTTAACATTTCTTTCAAATTTTCACATTCAATGTGCTAATAATTAAGTTTCAAAATCTTATTATTTATTTATATCTCTATAATTTAATTTTATTTTGATGGTTTTTTTGAGGACTCGAAAATTATTAGCATCTTGACAATTATTCTATGAAAACAATTTTATAAAAAATTACACTAAATTAATGATTTCTTTTATCAATAATGTTAATTAAAATTCAATACACACAGGCTTCCCAGAAATTTCTTTTTAACTACTACATCTCTTGGCTTATGGTGACCACAAGAAATACTGACTCCACTATCGACACCGTTCTTCGAGATTTAAATATTGGTATCGATAGCGATGTAGTCGTAGCTACTTCGCCATTATTGAATGATGATGTCTCTTGGAAATATGCGCAGAAATATCGAGAAAAGTAAGTTAGTGTATTATATTTTATTACATTATATTTTATGCTAAGTATATGTATACTATTATCTTATCTATATATGTAAAATTCTAAAATATACGGCTTATGTATATTATATAATTTATTAAAAGAAACCATGTCTATTTAAAGAAATTATTTATTTTTCACTAAGGTTACATCCTATCGACAAAATCATTTATTTTAATGTCTACAAAATATTTTCATATCCAATTTGTACTTGCACATATCCTATTTGTGTAAATTTTATAAAAAAATAAATCTTCTTAGTTTAAATTATAGAACGCAATCTGCATATTTTAAAAACAATTATGTTATATTATAATATGACAAGATTAATAAATGATTTAAATTAAATAATGATCAAGTAAATTTTGTTATAGGATATGTCGATCTTTCCAGCGTTATGGCGATCGTTTTGAATTTATGGGACCACCGAAACGACGTAATGTCGAAAATGCAACGATCAATCTGAACTACGTAACTTTAGAGAATCGTTCAGTATCGTTTTATCTGGTGAACACTTATAAAATACGCCATTCTGACAATGCAAGTCTTATTGTCCGATATCTCGGTTTCTGGAATCCAGATTCTCATACTCTTAAGCCGCCAATGAGCGTGAAATTGAGAAGTGATTTCAGGGGTCTTCCCATTATTTTTGGCGTATTGAATGGAACCAGTGACGGACAGACGGATATTGCCGAAGCAGAAACTACTGCCAATGATATCGCACCGCTTTTAGACTTTGCCACTATTGTTACGAACAGCGTGAACGCCAGGTAAATGAATATTTAACTCTAATATAAAATGCAAGTATTTAAAAACATTTAAATACATTATTTCGTTCAAATTGTTAAAACTACTTTGATAGTTATGCAGTCACATCAGTATATTATTTTTTCAAATGTTTTTTCCAAGATAGATTATTTTTATAATTTTTATTAATAAAAAGTGTAAAAGAAATAAATTTTCTAACAAATAAATTAAAATCCGGAAGAGTAGAATAATTCTTTGCAAAACATAATATAAACAAATTAATATAATATATATCTTGAAATTATAAAAGATCTGTTCTTTTTAGCTAAACTGGCTGCGCTAGTTAAAAAGAACAAACCTGCTGTAATTTAATGTTGAATTAAAAATGAAAAATAAATATATAAATAAATGATTTGTTTGCAGTATCGAATTGATACCGCATGAAAAACTTGGCACGTTAACTAACAAAGTGTGGAGTCATCTTCTCGGCGATGTTGTAGCAGGTACCGTTGACATCGGTTTGGGATACATAACATCGAACGACGAGGAACGTTGGACGGAAATGACATTTAGTCATCCTCTGATACGTTACACGTCAGTAAAAATTTTATGTAAAGTTAAAAAAGTCAACTGACTGCCTAATAAGTCACATCGATAATTTAAATTTCTTTTCATGATGCAAATATATTCAATGCAAATATATGTATATTCTTTTTCCTGGGTTACAATGCGGAGAAAGAACTTGTATTATAATTTATCATGATTGTATCGCGTTAGTTTAGTATAAATTAACACATAGATATCATCAAAATGTAAAAACTACTTCAAATATAAAAATTGTTTGACATTTATAATTTATTCGCATTTACATTTGAAATCAAAGCAATGAAAAATAAAGCATATATAAATAACATTTAAAAAAACACTTTAAAAATTAAAATTTAGTTTCTTTTATATTTGCTAAATAATAAATCAAAATGTAGTGAGATAAATAAATATGTTTATAAAGTTATTTTGAAGAGATTTTGAAAAAAACTTTATAAATTATTAATATATTTATTCTTTTAAAGTAGTTTTTTATCGCACGGTTATCAATCAATATTTAACACAGGAGGAACATTTATTACCATCCATTGGAGACCGGGACAATGAGGGATATATTTCTGCAACCGTTCGACAATCGATTGCTTGGCTGCGTCGCGGCAACATATTTTATTATGTTGATTGCAATGGCGACGGTGATTTACGCTACAAAGGCGATTTTGCATAAGGAGGAAAGATATGTTGGGATTGGGGAATCTGCGCTTTGGTGCTTGAGTATCATGTGCATGCAAGGTTTTCTCTCGCTTTTTTCATTATAACACGTTGTTATACACTAATCTTATCACTTTTTGCGTCATATCGTTTTTCTTAAATATAGCATTAATATTAAAATTGCCTGTACATATTTGTCGAAAATATCGCTATTATCTGATTATACAAACAAGGGATTGTTATATATTTATCCATTTAAAACCGAAATGTAAAATTTGTAGTTGTTATTCATTAGCGTACACAGTATTCACATTTGTATATGTTAATTTCGATCGTAATATATAAAATACACTATTATTCGTGAAAAGTGTAACACAGCTAATATCATTATTCCTTCATGGTGTTGCAATTTTCACAAACAGCAGTACATATGTATCTATAAATCATATGGAATTTTTAGGTTCGCCTTGGAGTCCTCGAACCCCATCTGGGAAGACTCTACTATTATTCAGTCTAATATTCTCTCTCGTAATGTACAACGCCTATGCTGGCTTTATTACGTCTATATTATCGGTGCAGGTCACTGGAATCAAATCAATCACGGATCTTCTTCTTAATAATTTTAAATTGGGATACAGTGCTGCTGATGATGCATATATAAGAGTAGTATCAATATGTATTATTATTATTATTATTATTATTGTATTATCACTTTATACTTGGATATACTTTACATAATTATACTTGGATATAATTTTACACAAATAGATATTGAGGAAATCTCAAGGTTCTTGAAAGAAATTATTTTTAAAAAAAGAATTTATTTTGTCGACAGTTTTTTTTAAATCTTTAAAAAACTAGTAGTCTTTAAAATTTTTGCTTAAAGATCTCATCTGTGAAAGATTATATTTATTTATTTAAATGTACTATTATTATCGTTTGCATCTTTCAGAATGCGAACGACAGCAACCTGCGTCAATTGTACATAAAGGCGTTTAATAGTCGTGAATCTCGCTTGGAAACGAGAACTGGACTTATGAAAGCTGTCAAAGGACGATATGGATTTTTCGTCAGCGCAACTCTCGCACGACGAGCTCTCAGAACAACTTTTATACAGGAGCGATGCCTCTTGAAGGAGCTACTACTTCCTAAAACACTTACAGTCGTCGCTCTTCCTATGGCCAAAAGTTGTCCCTACAGGAAGATTATCAATCTTAAGTACATATACACGAAATCAATTAGAAATTGTCAAATTTATATAACTTATATTTTTATAAAATATTTTTTATTTATACTACAGAAGTACATATGTTTTATTTTTTTCAGCAAAATCTTTTTAATAAATTTGATGCTGTATTTAAATTTTGTTTACAGTATATTACGTATATACGAACGGGGTGTCTTGGATAAAATACAAGAACGGATGTTACCAACGATGCCGCGATGCGCGGCATCGGCGGCCTTTCACAGCGCAAGACTTACCGATGTTTATTCCGCCTTTTTCCTCTTGACCGCGGGTATGGTCATAGCGATTTCCATTGGTATCGTCGAGAGGATATGGAACAAACGGAAGCAGATGCAGGAGACAATCGTGCGCAGTCTACGCGACCATCATCTGATACCGCATATCAATTTCCATCATCAGCATCATCGTGATCGTCCCAATGATCGCTTGCACTTTCAGTCTCCTGATGCTCTTTCAACTGACAGACCGCGAGACTACAATTCTGCTTATTTGACTATGCTACAAAATCAGGCTCGCCAGGTGCAGTCCTTCATCGGTTTTCAAGAGCGTGATACATCCCCTGAAAAATCGAGAGGCCCAGGCCAGGAACCGCGTTTTCACATACGAAGATCAGCAGGTCTCAAAAGAGCGTCTTGGGCTTCCTTTACGGGCTTATCCAAAAGGAAGCTAAAAGAGACCGAGAAAATTCCGCCGCCTTCGAATGTGGGATCCACCCCTGGAATCCGGATCTTGCCGTTTCACAATTAAATATCATTTTATCGGTTCAAAATATTTTAAGCATTATATAGTACACAAAGAGAATTTTCTCTTATAGTTTACCCTGAAAATCATGATAATCGTGGGACAATACGATATTAAAGGAATTTTATAAGAGTCTCTCTGATGAATATTTATCACAATAAAAAATATTCGATTAATTTTACTATGTACATAGTAAAATTTACATATTAATATTTTTATTGTGATAAATATTAATTAGAGAAACTCTTATAAAATTCTTCCAATAAATTCTAAGAGAAAATTCGCTTCGTGTAGTTTTTAATTTTGTTGTGAAAATAATATTATTGCGATGTCCATATTTCGAGATAATTCTTTAGCTCACATAATGTACACATCGTGTCATGCATCTTGGCAGAATTTAAAATTATTATAATAAGTGCTTCTTTTTTTTATTTGAGCAATAGCTATACATATTATCATGTCAATTAACATATATAACATATTTTACGTGTGTATATTTTATATATAATGATTTTTTAAATAATATATCAAAAATACGTGATAAACGTGTATGATCAACTACAATTATTATATTTGGCTAGAATCTTCACATGAGTACTGATAATCTTCGTAGGCCCTTGTCGTTTGTATATATTATCTATACCTCTACAGTCTCGTAGACTGCTGATTTCATTTCTGTGGCAAATATAAAGATTCTTAATCTTTATCTATTTCTCTCGAATGCAATTAAATTATTTAATCAATTATTTAATAAACCAGGAAAATAAAAAATTAAAAAAAAAAATTTTAAATTAAGAATATGCAATACCTGCAAAGAATGTTTTCTAAATTAAGAATATACTCGTCATCTTCGCACCATTTTCTCCAATTTTTGTACAATCGCAGTTCTTGTATTTCGTCAAGATACTTGTGACACATATCTCTTAAACTACGAGTATCTTATAATTAAAGTGTCGCGTAAATCACAGAATTATTTTACAATAAAACAGGTAATATTGATTGAATGTGCGAAATCTATCGAAATAGGTGAATCTATTCTGCTTCTATATATATTTAACCTTTTTATATAAAAATTTAACTCTTTTTCTAAGCTATAAGTATAATAAACTTTTTTTTAAGATTTCTTACTTTTTCTCCCATAATTCATCGGCAGACGATGCGATGAGCTTATCGCCCGGTAATGGGTCAGAAATAAATCGCTGACCATCAATTTCTCGCAAACTGTAACTGTCGGAATTACAATTGCATTAGTAAGTAACATGTTGTGCAAGAAAAAAATACGCAATAAAAAAGAGAGCATTTACTGTTGAAAAGAATGATCGCAGATAGTTCTTAGAAGAAGCACGATCTCCGTGTCATTCAACAAATCATCAGGCGCCATCATATTGTGAATCTCTAGCAGAGTTTCATTAATCTGAAAATAAATTGTAAAAAAGTGTATCTTAAAAAAATTCAAAAATAAATTCTTATATTGTATTAATATTTTATTATTATTTATATATTAATATACCTGCATTATTTTTTAATAAAAATTATTGAATTGTATTTCTCAAATTTGTATTATAATATTCTACTATCAGTTTATTATACGAACAATAATTTGTTGTCATAATTAAACTTAATAACAAAACTGAGTTTAATTTATGAGTCGACATAATTTCTGTATATGTAACTTCCTACTGTATTAACAAATCTGTTTATAAATACTAAATTTATGTATATATATATATATATATATATATATATATATATATATATATATATATATATATATATATTTCGTTTAATCTAACCGAATATAATTAGGCACGCAAAGCGAAGTTATTATTCTTTGATAATAAAATCTTGAAAATTGCAACGTATGCATAAAAATCATTATTGCAATGCATACATAAAAATACATTAATTAATTATGCAATGCATAAAAATTCAATATTTACAACTGTAACAGAAAATGCGAACAAAAAATAGAATTTTCTACAAGAATCTTTCGATCAAAATAACTACGCTTTCATTAGATTCGCGCGTCTCCATATGTCCGCTGCGCTGCACGCTGTACGGCCCGCGCGAAACTGATCACGTGATCATCAGTCTCGCAGTCGCAACATCTCGAACGAGAAATCGAGAATCAGTCTCGCGCAAGACGCGCAGCGTTACAGATGTATGGGGTGTACTAATGTTGCGCGGCTCGCGTGGGACTATAAATTCTCGATTCTCGTTCGAAATATTGCGACTGCAAGATTGATGATCACATGACCAGTCTCGAGCGAGTCTAATAAAAGTACAGATATTTTTATGAATCACGTGTAATTAATAAATTTTATATTATTTCTATACATTATGCAATATTAATTTTACACATGCAATTTTTAAGGTCTTATTATCAATAAAGAATAATATAACTTATCTTCGCGCTTCGCGCACGTAATTACATTCGATTAAACTAAACAAAATGAGAAAAAATATAAAGAGATACTCGTATATATGCAAAATAGTTCTCAAAAGATACAATAGAAATTCGATGAATTAAAATTACTTATGTACATAATAGAAATCCGACAAATTAAATTATATATATAATAGAAATTCGGCACTAAAATTATGGTCATATTCATAACATCAAGCAACTGTCATCGCGAAGATTAACAATTTGACAGTTGCAAAATAAATAATAGAAATAATATCAAAAGCGCGCGCGAAGCGTGATTTGTGTAGTCTGCTATTAATATATTATGCATTATTGTTGTAAATACATAGAAGGATATCTAACAATAAGAGTTTTTGGCGTACCTCCTCGGCGACGACTGTACACATGCTGCATCTAACGCACGCAGATGACAGATCCACGTGTAACTTGTCACATGTGTTTACCGCACAGTTATACGGGATTCGCATCACCCCGAAACCGGATGAGCTGCAGTCGCAATAAGGATCTACAGTGACATTCGAGTCTCTCAAAGGATTATAATAAATCGCAGCGGTGTAAGCAGGTTTCTCGCCGCTTTGATGAGTGCGCATTTTGCCGAATTTCTGGAAACTACAGCCATTCGATGTAAATGCAAGTAAAAATGGCATCAATAACATCGCTTTTGAGGACACCGTCATCGTATTTCTTAACGAGGATTGGCATGAATAAATTGGATAAGCAGGCTAAAAAAGTAACAGTGATTAATAAAAGTGAGTCTGTAATTTATAAAGTAAAATTCAAGTTTTATTGATAAAAAAGTAATTTATTAATTTTAAAATTAATCTCTAATATTAATCTCTCTCTCTCTTTCTTTCTCTTACAAAAAATAAATTCTTGTTTTTTTGTATAAGGTTTCTTTGTATTTTATAATAATATTGTTAAAATGCGTGTATATAAATAAAATAAGGTTAAAAACATATATTGACATATCAATGATATATCAAGAAAATGATGAAGACAGATGAAGCATGAAATTGCTTAATATATTTTAAAGAACAAAATACATTCATCAAAACATTGTAAGAAATTTATGCATTTGAAAGTTTATGCAAGTAAAATTATTTTATGATAGTAATAAGTATAGTAAGTATTCTCAATTTATCTTGAGAAAACAGTTCTACAATCTACAGTCTACAATCAAATTTACAATCTACAGTCTACGATCTACATTCTATACGTCTCTGCAATCAAATATGTATGAAACTACCTAATAAAATTAGCACTCACCAACCGATGCGCAGCAGCGGAGTTAATAACGAAGCTACGTTGCTCTGTAACATGCAAATGAAATTTAAATTGTAGTCACACAGTAATTAATATTTAAAAAATTATTATTATTATCTTCAATATTTTAAAAAATTATTATCATTACCTCTAATAAACAAAAATAAATACTCACCCCAGGATTGCTCCGCCGGTGCTCGATGTCCCTCCCAGATTTCCTTCCTCTTCCTCCTAAGATGTAAAGTGTTCTTCAGCAAGTTGATCTGTAACATATAAATTAAATCCAAATTAGGATAGCGCCTAAAATAATTAATAGGTAAAACTAAAAAAGAGCTTTGTCTTCTTTAATTTTGCCGAAATTTTACAATATGTCAAATTCTTTAACTTTTTTTTTAATATTTCTATCTTTTAATTCTCTCATTAAAAAATTTATGTCAAATAATCTTTTTATTTTTTCTATATATTGTAACTATAATGTAAAACATTAATAATAAAGAAATAAAGTTATGTACTTGTACATTTATATAATTTACATTATATAATTATTTGCTTAGGCAGGAGGTGCCGCAGGAACGTTTGTGGATATTGCATTATTTCTGCTAGAAATAATTGAAAACTCGATTGTAGAGTGTACAAGTATTTTTAAGGACTGGAGGTTTTACAGGAATCTTTATAAAGGAATCTATCCAATCATAATTGGTTCAACACCAACAAGTATGTGCATGCAGTGCCAAATATAAAATTTGTATACATATAATTTATATATATATATACATTTCTTTTTCTCATATTTTAGCTGCATTATTCTTTTTAACAATATAAAGAAATTAAAACTATATAACAACCAAAGATTTCTGCAAAGTACTATGCAGTACTTCACATATGGGAGCAACAACATTAGGAGAAATGGTATTATTTTAATAATTATATATTATATCCTCGTTTATATTAATAATTAAAATATGGAAAAGAAAAAACTAATACAGCTACCTCGACAACGTCGAAAAACTCGGAAATATTTGCGTCGAAAAGCGCGCGCGAATTTGCGGCAGCCTGAACCGGAGCTGTGACGTCACGCCAAGGATACTACGGTCGCATGGAGCGAACGTCGAGAGATCTTCCCATTCCCGGCCGACGAAATCAATCTCACCTGTACAATTGTGATCACGATATCGATACACGCCACGCGATCAGATTTATATTACGATGATATAATGACGATGACAATTAATACAATATAAATACGCTAATTAATACTATATTACACGTGCTCGTACTTTTCGCTAACTTTCAGCGACTGGCTATATGGAAATAAGTCACGCACTTTCGAGACAACTAATGTTGAATGAGATTCCCGGCAGACGAAGTTAATTTCACGCGATCGCGATTTGGAAATATTCGCTTGACCAATCAGAGCGAAGAGATTCTTGGTCGCCGATTGGCTGCCCACGTGGATAAGAAGGTATTGATCTGAAATTAGACTGAGTTATTTCGCGCATGCGTACTTTATTTTAGCCAAACCAATATACTGTGGTATGATTCGGTAATCTATATAATTATGTAGTATGGATCTATGGTACATGTGATATATATACACACTTTGGCATAATTTTAAAAGATTATTTTATCATAACAACAATGTTGGCACGCCAAATTCTTTGCAAAAAATTATTGCGATATTCCTCGTGCAGCTGCGTATCCGTTCGACATACGCAAAGCGCGAGTGAACATGCGTTAGACACGATTAACCTTGAAACGCGACTGCCGGTATCCATAAAGAGGCAACGACAACGGGAACCCTTCGCCAAAAATTTATTTCTCGGCGTATTTGACCATGAATTCATGTATTATCCCGAGCCACAAACCAAGGAGAGGCATACGCGGTTCTTCGAGTGGCTCCAACCCATCGAAAGGTATGTTTCGGAGAAGTTGGAAGATCCGCAAACTGCCAGGAAGGACGACATTCTCTCCCATCTGAGAGATCTGGGTGTTTTTCGGGCACACGTGGAGGAACAGCATTTCGGTCTAAGCTTAAACGAGACAGAATTGGCCAAATTAGTGGAGGTACTCAGCTGTTTGCCCTGGTTGGGTTCCTACATCATCCAAAATCACATTGTACCTGTGCATATCATCTCTACAATGGCCTCGGAGGAACAGAAAGCAAAGTATTTACCGAGAATAGCGACCGGTGAAATCGTTCCCACGGTCTGCTATACCGAATCCGAGGGTGGAATTAATATACGTAATATTAATACTAAATCAGAAATGTCAGATTGTGACACACATTACATATTGAATGGTGAGAAGTCGTTTGTAGTCAACGGACATGATTCGAATCTATTTCTTGTCTTCTCTCATTTTGGCCATTCTCAAGCAATCAGCAGTGGACACGGTGTCTTGTCTGTGTTTTTAGTAGAACGAGATACGAATGGTATTGTCTGTAAGGACATCAAGAACCTAGTGGGGCTTCACAATAGTCCTGTCTGTACAGTCACTTTTAACAATACCAAAATTCCAAAGGACAATTTGTTAGGTGACATAAAATCTGGAAGGAATATATTGATAGATTCACTTGCACCTGGAAACAGAAACATTGCTCCACAAGCAGTTGGTATGCTGAGAACTTTCATCAAATTATTAACGAAACATGTACTAGAGAGGAAACATCTGGATCAAAATCTGCACGAATATGAATCTGTTCAAGAAGTGATAGGTAGATTGTCAAGCTCCTTATATAGCATGGAAAGTATGTTGTATTATACCACTGGCATCATCGATATGTATGAAAATCAAGATTGCACACTCGAAAAAGCTATGGTAGAGATGTATTGTGCAAACAAATGTGTAACGAGTATTTATGAGGGACTACAAATTATTGGAGTGCAGAGTTATTTGAGGGAGAAGCCTTATATACAGATCTTTGAGGATGTATTATCTTATACGCTGTTCGATTCTTACAATATCGATTCTAACATATATATCTCTCTACTTGGTCTGCAACATGTAGGTAAAAATTTACGCCAACATATAATTAAGATACGAAATCCGTTTAATTATCCTAAGCACATGTTCAACTGGGTCTTCGGTAAAGATTATCGATTAAACCTTCACATCGCCGACCACCTGCATCCATCTTTGGTAAGCGGCGGTGAAATACTAGAAAAATGTATCGGCAGGTTACAGACCGTCGCGGTTTTGATGTTACAACGTCACGGTACTGAAATATCCGATCGGCAAATGGAATTGCGTAGAATAAGCGAATTAGCAATGAAAACGTTCGCGCTAGTAACTGTCCTCTCACGCACTTCTAGGGCGTATTGCATAGGTGTAAGAAATGCCGATTTAGATCGACAACTGGCTAACATCTTTGCGATTCTCACGGAAAATAGAGTTAAAGCTATTGCGGACGAAATTCTATTAGGAGAGTTTACGAACGGTGATAAATTGCACAAAAATGTTGCCGAACTGATATATGGTAAGAAAGATTATTTTGCCGAACATCCGTTAAACAGAACTTACTAAACATTCGTCTTGTTTCGGATTTAATTCGTTTTAGAATGCAAGTTATATATATATGTGTATGTATAATAAAAGAAATAAAAAGAATCCCAAAAATGCGAGCAATGTATTTAAGTTATAAATAATCAATGCTCGTAGAATGTATAATATAGATGCATCTGTAAATTACTTTCAACCAAACTATTTGTTTCTTCTATATTATAAAATGAAATTACATTTTGTAATTATATATAGTGTATCTGATTTGTTCCAAAAATAAAAAAAAACATACACATTGTGTTATGTTATCCACCAAAATTTCTGTATTTTATGAATTTTACAATTATATTTTATATACTAAGATCAATTCTGTGTGTATGTATGTGTATATTGTGTGCGCGCAAAAAGTAAATTAAATACTTTAATCTTTTCTATCGAGTATTCCTAAAAATTTTTTAATCACATATCGCTTAATGTAGTTTGAAGTATATATATTATATTTATAATTGTTATTTGTAATTGTAATTTCACTATATCAACCATCATTCGCTACTTAGAACTTCTGACAAATACATGAAGAGGTGGACGGTATTTTTTCTACAGATGTAACATGACTAGTCTTAAATGCATAAATATGAAACTCTATGTAGGATCATTGGAAGAACCTTGGGGGAGGGAGGTTTCGCACTCGAAATTTCCTTATTTAAAATCCTATAACTATAGTCTTTCCGCTTGAACAATAACATGCTCTTCCCGATATAAATCAGTCGCGGACCAACAGCTCCTAATGCAAGTGTATATTAAAACGGTACCGAACTCAATCTGGAAATTCCGTTCGCTTCGTGGATTCAATATCAACTTTGGTATGATCGTTGGTAAAACTTGCAACTCAAAAATCATCTCGTCGCCACAATTTCGACATTTACCAATACAACCACTCAGCGGATATAGTAATAACGGTGCAGAATTATCTCTTGAATAACTGGAAAAATAAAAACTATTGTCATATAGTGCATCTATATGTATAATATACATTTTTTAAACGTATAGATCATATAATAAAAGATTACTAAAGATTTTACCGTAGCAACTGTCCAGGATTTCTTTGTATTCTGCAAACAAAATTGTGAAACATTTCATCACCGTGCTTAGGAACACCTTTCTCGTACTTTTCCACGTCAGTTTCAATTGTCTTAGGATTGCCAGAATCCGGCGTAAACTTCGTTGATGGATCCGGATTGCCGTGCTGATATTCGACTAACAAGTCTCGAACGTGTTGGGACACATCTGTATTGCAATCCTCTTCGTCAACCGAAAGAAATATTTCGTCGAACGTGTATTTAATTTCCGCGTTCATTATTTGCAGTGGCAACGGAGTTACTTCGTGCAGTAAACTAACTAAATCACATTGCGGTCGAGTCGGAGTATCGATGCATACAACTTCGTTTTCGTCTCCATCGATCTCTGCTGAGGCTTGAGGAGAATCTAAACGACCTACGGCGCCTCCACTAACTGGAGAGTCTACACTAGTTGGACTATAACATTAAAAGAATAATCATATAATAGTTATTATCAATTTATACACACACATATATGTATATTTAATTATATATTTAAAACATCTTGATAACAAACCTATTTGCATTTGGATCATCTACACGCAGGGTAGAGAATTCTTCTCGTATATCCTGATCTATTTCTTTATGCAAAGAAAAATGAAATTGTAATGGATCATTTTCCAACATGTTATTCCCATTTGGTTCTGCTGCATTGTCATTTACATTATCACCCCAATCATCTGCATCTGATAGCCAAGCTGTTGTAGATGGCACATTAACACTCCCAGAATCCAGAACACATGTATTACTTTCATCTTCTAAGTGCTGTATTCTCAAGCATGTCCAGCTTTTGTTTTGATTCCAGCAATTTGGATTAATGCATGCAAATATATATAATGTCCGATGATATTTTGAATTATCTAATGGTGCATACAACTGGAGTGCTAAGAGCTGATACAAGCCACAGAGTCTGCATTGTGGTGACAATAATGTATTTTTTCCATAACAGTTCTATGAAAAATTCAATATAATTATCATTAATAAAATTGCTTTATAAGATCATTTTATAACTTTATTAATATTGCACTCAATGTATTCTTCTATATAGTATAAATTTAAATTAAAATTTACACATGCTAAATAAATATATCTTTCAATAAACTAAGAAAAAACATTCCATATATGTATATGTATATATATCTTGTTTGTAAATATCTCACATCTGACAGATCATTCACAATATTCTAATAAATATTTAACGTACGATTATCAGTCTATTTAATCAAAGTCTATAGATTACGACAGATGAAAATAAATAATTCATTTTTATTATATATTGTACCCACTGGATGCCCGCCGATCTTGTTCGTGGTGAAGTTGAGCAAGGAGCGATACTTGTCCGTGACATACTCGTCCTCGTATCCGAGATACACCTTTGTACGATTATCGCAAGCCATTTAAGCCATATACGATCGCTGCTCTACATTGGAAGACTACGGACGTAGAGAGCTCCGGAACACCTGTATAGTACACTGCCGTTTTCCTTACGACCGAGACAGCTGACACGCATCAGTAACGCTTGACGCGTGCGCCTTCAGCGATTCGCGCGTTTTCCTTATCGATTTTTTTGCCCTACCAACTGGACATGGTCATTCCAAGTGTTCTGGATATGCGCTCTGTGAAATCACGATGACATCGTTTACAGATTCCCGCCCTGGATGAAAATATCACGTGAATTAAACACGTGTTATACATATATTGATATACACATAAAAGAAAAGTACTCATTCATTCAATAAATGCATTCTCTGTAACTGAAGTGAGATATTCAGACAATGAAGAAAGAGAAAGGAAATAAAGTGCAGAGTGCAGAAGTACAACAGCTGATTTACGTTTGATATAATAGACTATCTTTACAACTGCACTTTCTACACTGTGTAATTTATTTTCTTTTTCTGTTAGAGAAGTGCATTTTAAATAAAAAAAATAAATAAAAATTTGAATACAACTTGTATCTATCTTTTAAAAATAAAAATTGATTTAGCCATTTGGTATATATTTCTCTGTAATCTTCTGATAACAAAGATTATATTTACCAAATTAATATATAAAAGTATTCTTTATTTTATATACATTATATAAACTAATCTACCAATATGTCTGCTTATCATTGAACATCATTTTTAGTATTTTCTGACTAATTAGTCTCATAGTATGAGTAGGTACTATAGATGTATATAAAACACAAAGAATATAGTCATTATGTTTTACAGCATGACATTTGTGATATTCAGAACATAAGTATGTTTCCTTTGCTCCAGTAAACTGCCAGGCATTTGTAATTACCTTCTCATCATTAGTCTCTTTGTATTCAACTGATAATCCAAACATTTCAACTGCTTGATGATAAAACGTTCGTAGAATATCTAATCTATGTGATCCTGTTACACGATTTTTTTCACATTGCAAGTTTCTACCAAGTACGAATTTTTCTATTTTGTAATTTGCCAGCAAAAACCTAAATTTTTTAAATATAATAATAATAATAATAAATAATTATCCATTATGCAAATAAATGTATTTCAATTACCCAAGTGTCTCATTATTTAAAGAGACTGATGCAGGTAAATTTCGTGGATAACACTGTTCAACAGTACATAATGCATCCATATTACTCTTCCAACATTGTACAGCAAATCTCTCAATTTCTGTTAATTCTGGATTTGGTCCACATAATGCCAAAACTTGTACATGATTAATAAGAGTTATAGATACTAATCTGAAAGCTACCTATATAAAGAGAGAATATTATATTATATATATATATATATATATATATATATATATATATATATATATATATATTTTTTTTAAATGCTTACATTTGGACTTTTACAAGGTAAAAAAACTGGAATGTCATGTGTAGTACAAATACTCTCTGAAGTAATGGCTATAGTTAACAATTTTCTTTCTACAGGATCTAGCAACCACCAGCCCTCTGTAGCAGCTGCCACACAACCATGAACCAGAACACATCCGTATATTGAGTCCAGATATTCCATAAATCCTTCCAAACAAGTCTTGAATATAAATATATTGAGTATTGTATATAACTTTATACTGCATTTGTACACAATAAAATTTAAAATACCTGAAGTAAAGTATTTTCTGAGGATATGATGCATTCTGTCATATTAACCATATTGGTTTTTGTAGAAATTTTATCTCCTATGTCCAAGCAATCCATTAAGCTGTCAATAATAGAGCTACAGAGACGCATGTCCTTCTTAAGCCTTTCTATATTTTTACAGTTTTTTATTTCATCAATGCCAGCGAAAAGGACCATTGCACCAAAAGTAGCATCCAAAAATTTATCCAATATATATTTTGTTACTCCACTTGCAATTGCTATTAATATAATGCATTGCTCAAATTCTTTCCATACTACTGTCATATCTGGCAAGTCGGTGCTTAACAAACTGATATCTTGTGACTTTAAGAACATGTGAATTCCATTGAGGGATGCAATTTTCGAAAACGTCATCTGAAAAGTTTCGTATATAAATATATATATATATATACATACACATAAATCTAATTTTATATAACAAACTATATATAACTACATTATTTAAATATATAACTTATACACAACTGTATCACTGTCTCCCTTCTGGCGAGAAAATAAAGGAATCCCTCCAGAGGAAGTTAAGCACATAACATAAGCTGACATTTTCACTTAGATTTTGTAAGTATTGCAATTGATACTATTATTGAGTATTTTCGATTCTTGTAAACTTTCTCTCTCAAAAATTAACTATGCATCTCTCAATTAATTATGCATCTCTGCCATCCTGGAAAAAAATAATAAATAACGATTAAATAATAGAATGAATATAATTATAAAATTAATATTAAATTAATATAATATTAAATTATCTCTGATAATTATTTGTTGAATATCCTATAATGAAATCAAGTAAGGACTTCCCAAGTCAAACAATTCATTTTTTATCAATTGTTCACAATTTCCACACAAAATGCAAACCATTTTACCAAATTATTGTATATATATTCTTATTATTCGTTTAATCTTTATTACTTCTATAATTAATAAATAAAAATATTTAATTAAACCTTACATTGAAAATATCACGGTTTTATACATATATAAATATTATTGTCATCTCTTTCTCTTCCTGCTTCCTGCTACCACCAACTGCTATTTTCTTTTTAAAGGTGTGTTCGAAAATTAACCGTAGAATAAAGAAGAGTATAATTGACCAATCAGAACGAAAGGAGCAAAGATAAAAGGTCAATGGATATCTATATACATTTTATAAGTCTATGTTGAATCGAACGTGTATTTGTATGTAATTTTTTATATTTAACAAAAGAATATTTAAATGTGTAATGTTTGAATAAACAAATAGACAGAATAATAATAGAAAATTTATAAAAATGGTTATAATTTCAAGAATTTTCTCACGTACAAATTACGGTGGATTACAAGCAGCAAAAATACTATGTAGGTTATTTTTAATACTCATCTATTATGTATCAAGCTTAGCAAATTTTGATTCTTTAAATAATATGTATCACAGAGAACACAATTGCACTATTATTTATGACGCCTATTATATATATATATATATATATATATATATATATATATATATATATATATAAAAATTAAAACTTTATAAAAATTTTATTTTTTAGACAATGCAAGTAGAAAAAGTATGTCGACGGTTGTTTCAAGTCCGACAGGAGAAACGCACAGTAATGAGATGCCAGAGCAAAAGAAAATAATTCCAGATAGATATCGATTTATTTACCCAGAATTCTTACCAGAACCAGATCCGACACATCGCAATGCACTCAGAGAAAAATTGGAGCGCATGGATATGTTAGCAAGGCGTACGCATATAGCAATACCAGAGTTTTATGTTGGTTCTATATTAGCCATAACTTATTCCGAGCCACATGCTCCTGGAAAAGTTAATAGATTTGTTGGTATATGTATAGAGAGGAATGGATGTGGATTGAGATCTTCATTTCTCTTGAGAAATGTAGTTGATAATCAAGGCATTGAAGTATGTTTTGAATTATATGATCCTGCAATACAGAAAATAGATTGTCTCAGGTAAATACAGAGATTATTGTTTTATACATAAACCATTTTGAAATCTTGCATTACTTATTGGGATTATTGTTTACAAAATATCTAGACTTGAAAAAAGATTGGATTCACACCTACGATATTTGCGGGATGCACCAGCAGAGTATAGTACTTTTTCCTTTGATCTGGAGCCAGAATATTTGACAGAAGAAACTGTTCCTGTAAATGAGATCAAAGTACCGCTTAATAGATTACCATGGCTAGAGAAATGGGAGCGTCAGGAATTAAAAGGCATAGAAATACCGTTTAAATTGTCTAGTAAACGCGTTAGAAAAGCCAAAGCTGCTGCAAAACCATGGCATAAATATGACTTAATGAATACATACAGGTAATAAAGCATTTTATATTTCTTAACATATTCTCATTTTATCTCTCATTTATCTTTTTTTTTTTATTTAGGCAAACTATTCCTGAAGAAGAACAAAATGAAATATATAATGAAGTATATACAAAATTACATGAAATGGAAATTACTAAACGTAGACAAAAACATAAACGTACTTTCGTACGTCCACAGAAAATTGGTTAAATGATTATTATACAGCATTTCTTAATTCATGTAAGAAAGTAGAATAAAATAAATATGATTCTTTTTTGTTATAATATATAATTTGTATTGTTTTATTTTATTTTTTTTTTTTACAATGTAACATTGTATCTTAATAATGATATATAATTTTCTTCTTTCTTGATTGCAATTTTACAAAAAACAAGGATTTTGTAACAATTGTATTTTATATCATAAAAACGAAGTAAAAATATAGAATTAAACACATACCTCAGAACAGAATATAAATTAAATTCTTTCTCTCTTGATAATTTCATCTCAATTGAATAGCTATTGATAAAATGATAAAAATAAACATATTTGTAACCTTACATACTTTATGTAGCTAATACATTTTTTTATTGCGAAGTAAAAAATATACAATAGAAACTGGAAAACTCGTTTAATTATTAATTTCTGTATAATCATCTGTATTCTATCTTTATCATCGTCATGCTTTTTAACACTTTAAAGTCATATATTGATCCGCATGCTTGTGTTTCAGTAGGCAAAATTAAAACATATTATTATAGACTAGTGTTTTTCTAGAAAATTTATTGCTAAAAACCAAGCACACAGACCTCATATCTGTAATCTTTCTGTCAAGTGGTACTAACCCTCAGAAGTTTCTTTATGGTTAAACAAACAATATAGCATAAAAACATTGTAGATCTAGAATTAAGTTCAAATTTTCAGATGGCAGTCAAAGTATTAAATAGCTAATTGTGTATTTTTGCATATTTGAATCACTGTTTAACAATATAAGAGATCAATATAATATATGAAATTAACTTGTTAGTAAAGCTACATTAATTTCTTTAACCATTTTAATACGATATAACATTTTGATGAGGTGTTCCTTTGCAAGGGGCGACGTCGAATACCATACTGGACTATCTGGTACGCAACTGCGTTCTGGTAATAGATAGAAGACATCATTTCGTGTTTTAACGCTTTCAGGACTGAAATATTTCAAGAAATACATATAATATATTATTAAAATCAATGTATTAAATTAAGTAAAATTTTATTTTGTTTATTCTTGATATTCAAACGTACCATTTCGATAAATAAAATTCATACAGCTTAACAGGACATCTCAATGGATTTTCTTCATTTTCCTGTTGCTCATATACCTTCTTTTTCTTGAATTAGCTTCTTTAAAAAGTCATAATAAATAAATTAATGTATTGCTATCAATAAACAATTTTTATTACTAATAGAAAAAAAAATGAAACTAACCAAGAGCTGATTGCGGCGGGTAAAATCTAAGAAGAACATTCCTTGAACCAGGAACCTTGCCTGCCATTGCTGTAGGTTGAGCAGCTGGGTTACGTTTCCAATGTTTCATAATATGAGAAAAGGAAAGTTGCATATGTTCTTCCACTGTCTGAAAAAGAAATTTACAAAAATTTAAAGAAATTATTTATTAACACTATAACAATATTGTGATAACTAGTTTTATCGAAATTTATAATAATAATAATAATTTTTATTAGCTATCTTACTAGACTTACCACAAGATTAAAATGTTTAGTATTAAAAACATAAGTGTGCTTAATAAGACGTGTGGAGAATGGGCACCTAATTGCTTGCATTCCCATAAGTGTTCTTCCTCCACTCTAGTCACTATATATTCTGTAAAATAAAGGTTACAGCATTAGTAAAGATAAAATAAAAATAAGAAATTTATAATGCAACGAATAACAAAACATACGTGCTTCGTTGTATAATGCAGAGAATTTTTTCGCTATTTCATTTAAACAGTCTGTAAATTTCTCATAATATGAGTCCGTGAATATATTGTCAATCCTGTTATTTTCAAACAGGTACTGCTGTATTCCTAAAACAAGTTTATGAAAGAAATGTTTCAGACTAAAACAAAAGCTATCAAGTACAAATATACTATAAAATAGTAGAACATTTTTTTTACCTAGGCAAAGATAATATATTGTATCGGGAGCATATTCTGCACCGTTCGGCTTTCTTACTTCCTTCACGAAAAGACATAAAGAATAATTTAACTCATCCGCAGTAAGTTGTAAAAGATCTGTCTTGAACAACTTTATTTTCCTCATTGGTGTAATCTGTTTTTCTAATTCGGCATTCTTTCCAATTACCTATAATTAAACAATTATTTATATCATATATGTATATAATCTTTCACATCCTGCTAAATTGTATATATAAAATAACTGTATACATAAAAAAATTACCAACCCATTGTCTCCATGCGTTTACACCAAATGTATATTTTAGTGCCATATTTGCATCAGGTTTTTCTATTGGTTCCATAATGCGTGGCTGCGGAGGTGGTTGTGGTTCCGGTGGTGGCATTAACGGCATGTCATTTGTAGCAGAAACGCGTCTCATTCGTTTGCTCTGCGTTGATCGCGGTTTGTATGGCATCACACGTTTCCTTCCTCTAGAGGCGGCCATTAATCGTTCCGATTGCACTGCATAAAAATAAAAATTATTAAAACTAATTCTCAGTTCATCTTTAGGAAAACTGATCATATCGATCTGTTCTATAGTTGATAATAATAGGTAACAATAGACATAGTTATTAAAATGTACATATATGTTGTCGGAATGATATACTGCATACCATCGTTGTCCATAGTGTTTTCCGGTTGTGGCGGTGCTTGCGTAGCTGTAATCGTATTCGGCGTCAAGGCAGCTTCCAGATCGACTGCTGGTTCGTCTAATTCTCCTGTTGCCATTTTTAATGCCATTTGCAGCATGTCATCCCCAAACGCGTTATTGGAATCAACCGCTTCCGGACTGAAACCATCACTATGTAAATTGTCTTGCTCAGCTGTGTCACCTTCCCTAAACAAAAATATGTGCTTTTGGTGTATGAGACAAACAGAATACAACATTTATAGTGCACAATTTCATTTTCTCAAATACTTGTTTAAGTCAATATAAAAATGCATCTTACCTATCGTCTACCGAATCCGAATCGCTGTCATTAGCCTTCTTTTCAGTAGCTACCATCTCTGCCATCATAAGAAGCTCGGCTTCATACGGATCGGCTGGTATCTTCTCTTGTATCTTCTTGATATCTTTCATAATTCCCTTCGCGCTGTTTCTCGTAGTAGGTATGAATAAAGGAACGGGAATAGGCAGTGGAAAAGGCATTGGAACTGGAAAGGGCATACTATACATATGCATCGGAAACGGAACATAAATTGGTACTGGTATAGGTACGAGCACTTGTTGAACTTTCTCTTCCTTCGTCTGCGTCCACTTTGTGCAAGGGTGAGGACGTACGGAAACCCCTTTCGTATGCACTAAAGGTTTGCACTGAGTCGTCTTATTCTGAACCTTCACTGGAGTAGGTGGCCTAGTAATAACTTGCTGATTGTAGACAATTTGGGCCGATTGATTCGATATCGCGCTCGTAGGCATGATATTTTGTTGCGAGTTCGGGCTTGCTTGTCCATTTCCTATCGAGGCTAAGCTGGTCACCGAGGAGATGACTGGCATGGTCTTTTTATTTTGTATGTCACTGGGCTTTTGAGCGGTTTGACTTGCGCTTTTCTGCGATAACGTGGTCCTTTTGGGTACACCCGTAGGTACAGGCGTAGGATCGTCGCTTGAAGGTATAGTTATGGGGGATTTAGTATACTGCGCTTGGAAATTCATGACACAATTATACGAACAAAAATTACGTATTGTTGCATCTGACATTGTGAGATGATAATGTGCTAAGGAATACTCTTTACAAAAATCACAGTTAATTCGTTTCGCAGATACTGCATTAATGGAAACCTGCAACAAAAAATAAGTTATATTTTGCACATTATTAAATATATTAGTATACATAACACAAACACAATATACCTGATATAATGTCAAACAATTTAAGCTGCACATCATCAGAATCTGTCCTGTTTTTAATTCCTTTTTAATCATATCAAAGTTATACTTCTTTACTTTGCACCAATTGCATGGAACTATCTTTCTATTTGTTATGATAAATATATTTAAGCATGTCTTATTACAAAATGTATGGGGCTCATTGTCGTAAAATACGATGAAATGTTGCTTATTTGGTAATTCAAAAAATTTCTTGCAAGTAGAGCACTGCTCAGGATTAACTTGTTTTACAAAATTAAATGCTGCAAAACAGGGTTCACTACATATAGCTACTGGAGTGCTATTATATATCTGAACTTCACAGTGTACAAGTTTTTCCTATAAAAAAGAAAAAAATTTCATTATATTTAAAAATTATTTATTTTTTAATATATTTAAAGTATTTGAAAATCTAAAAAAACTACTATCTATACACACCTCTTGACAGACACTACATGGCTTTTTCTCTGTGGTTGGAGGTTCTGAAGAATTCAACTTTGAATATTTCTCCATACAATCCTGGGTACAAAAGTCTTTAAATTGTCCTTTCTCTCCGACTGGCGCGAGAAATCCGTCTGTGCTAAAGCTTATGTCCTTCTGACAGTAACTACATACTTTTAAACCTTTTTTAAATTCCTCCAAACATGTTGAACAGCAAAATTGTCTCACGTCGCATCCAAATCTCACACAATATTTGCCTAAACTTACTGCTTGAACTGTACCATTACAATTCTTGCAATAACTTCCATATTTTCTTTGAAACTTTCCCAAACATTCCTCATTACAAAATTCCATGGTTTCCCAAGAAAGATTTCGTTCGTCATTCGCTTCTATAATTAATAAACAAGATGCACAACGTTTCTCTCGTTTGGAGCTAGCTCTTTGGTGTGGTATGTCTACTGTTTTATTATTAGCTGCTTTAAACAATGCTTTACATGTTTTTGAGCATACATGATAATTTTCTTTACCAATCTTTACCCGAATTTTACATGCTCTTTCTTCACCACATTGCTTACATATCTCTTTAGTAGTAATCTCTTCTACTTCTGAGCTCTTTGACTCATCATCAATATTAATAATGTCTGTTGTTGCAGTTTGTACTTCTACTATTGGTTCTTTTTGAATAGCCACTGTATTATCTTCTTTACTATTTTTATTTTTCGTAATTGCTGATTTAGGTTCACTCTTGTCAGCATCTTGCTCAAGTTCAGAATTAGATTTGCTACTTTTTTGTATTGTTTCATCTTTCTTATCTTTTTCAAGTGCAGATTTATTTTGCTCTTTATCAGTTTTTACACCTGATTTATTAGGTATTATTACTTTCATACTATCTGGGATAATACATAATTCGTCATCTTGTCCTGGTAATACATCAGTTTGTTCCTCATCTGTTTCCATGGGTGTAATTTCTTCAATAGTTTTTTTGGTCTGCTCAACTTGCTTATCTGATAATTTTGTAGATGATGTATTTTCTGTTTCAGATATATTTGTATCTGGGAGGTCAGTATCCATTGCTGTACTTTCAAGAGAATCAATAGTGATTGGTACATTATTTGATTCTTCAGCAATATTGTCCATAGCTTTAGTATTAGTATCTTTTCCATCATTTGATGTGCAATCAACATTAAGTTTATCATTATTAGAATCATTGTTTCTAGCATTTACTGCATCCTGTAAATTATCACCTTGTTCATATAAATTTTTAAAACTAATCTCATCGTCGACTAGCAGGCTATCAGTTTCCACTGGTTCAACATTTTCAGAAGTAAGATTATCACCGCCAAATGGATCTTCTGCATCTATAGATTGACCTTCAATTTGCGAATCATCATGCTTATCATGAGAAAATTGTATAAACTCTGTATTTTCAGGTTCAATGTTTTTCTCAGACAAATCTTTATCAAGATTTTCTAAATTACTGTCTGAAGATTCTGACTCCACTTTTTTTGACAGATCAACATCCTTTTGAGATATTTGCAGATCATCTACATTAACACTAGATTCATCTGGAATATCACAATCTTCAGATTCAGGTTTGTCTTTAAATGTTTCCAAATTGTTTATGACTTTGTCACTAGAAAATTTTGCACAGTTATTTTCTGATATATTGCATGAATCTTCAAGATTTAATGACTGTTCTGTGTTAGATTTTGCTGTCAAATTGAATGCACTTAGCTCTGTTGTTTCCTTGTCTACATTAGCTGATGCACTTTCTTTGCAAAAACTTTCAACTACATTACTTTCTTCAATTGTTACAATCTCAGTATTTTTTTCAGATGATAGCACCTCAATTCCTATGCTATTATCTTTTTCAATGGTTGTTTGTAAATATGTAGCAGAATCATCTATTGCATCTTTTTCAGAAATAATTGTAGTTGTTCCTTTATTTATTTCACTTTGCACTTCTGCAGCATCTTCTTCAGTTACATTTGATGGAGTTGTATCTTTTTCAGAAGCAATTATAATTGCTTCTTTATTTGTTTCATTTTGCACTTCTGCAGTATCTTCTTTAGTTACATTTGATGGAGTTGCATCTTTTTCAGAAGTAATTGTAATTGCTTCTTTATTCGATTCATTACATACTTCTGCGGTATCTTCTTCAGTTACATTTGACAAAGTTGCATCTTTTTCAGGAGTAATTGTAGTTGCTTCTCTATCCGATTCATTACATACTTTTACAGTATCTTCTTCAGTTACATTTGACGGAGTTGCATCTCTTTCAGAAATAATTGTAGTTGCTTCTTTATTCGATTCATTATGCGCTTCTGCAGTATTTTCATCAGCTATATTTGATGCAGTTACTTCTTTTTCAGAAATAATTGTAGTTGCCTCTTTTGTTTCGCCATGCACTTCTGCAGTATCTTCATCGAATGATGATTTATCAGATCCTTTATCTTCTTCCTTCTCGATACAGCTTTTAGTATTATCATTATCATTTTCAGAGTTATTCTTAGTTTCTGATTGAGTTTCATCAATTTTATCCACGGATACTGAACTGCCTTCAGAGTCCATTTTTATTTATTAGTTTACCTCTTGTGTACCTGAAAATATAACACAATAAACGTTAATAATGAAAAATACATCTTTTTGTTACTTATTGCATATAAAAAGGCATTTCTTCACATTAGTTCATATTTAAACTTAAAATAAAAAATTGGCAATTCAATAAATAACAAAAAATACAAATATTGCAACTATTACTAAAAATCTAAAAAAACTTGCATAATTCGCATATGATAATATTCTGTGTCAAAGAAACATATTAAAATACAAACATTTATGGCAGATTTTTGATTTTTTTTTTACCTACAATAAAAATAAGATGGATCGAGAGGGGAGAAAAGCCTCGATGCAACAAAGTTATTTTTGAGCGCAAAATGACGTGCGAGAAGTATTTCGCACATGAGCAAATTATAATGATCTCAAGCATCGTAACATCTAGGTTATGAAAAGGACCCATTCGGCATCGCCATGTTTTCTCTACCTGTTAATCAGTCGTTGAAACGTCGAGTTTAAACATCAACGAGACGAAGGATTGAAAATACGCTGCCATGTATAGACGAATCGGATAACGTACGTTCGTTCGAGGAAAAAAACATACGCTGCTCGCGGAAATTGCGGCGGACGCGACGTCGATGACTCGCGCGATTTCGTTCGAAACTGAGCGACGCGATTATCGAAGTCGGACGACGCGCGGACGAGAGCCGGTTTTCGTTGCGTCCTTTCGTGGAACGTTTCTCATTCGGAATAATTGAATTCGACAAACCACGCGAAAATCGCGACGCGAATTTTACGCTACTAATTAATTTTTTTAAATTCGTTTGCGAACCTCCAATACGCTTGTAAAAAAAAAGATAGACGCTATATAATATAAAAGATATAAGATGTGCGGCAACTTAAAGGTTTGTTTAGATGTGATATATTGCCTCGAAATATTTAACATATATCTTGTAATATTAATTTTATATCAAATTTTGATTTCGAGAGAGAAATAAATTTTTGTAACGCATTACTATGATACGATTAATTTCTTTTTTTTTATCGCATATGACAAATGTAATTTAAAAGAAAAAAACTGCGCTCGCGTGGAAGAAGTGTTGCCACCAGCTTCCGATTTTAGTGACAGTATTTTTTTTAGCTCTATATTTGGGACACATTCAAAAATTCTACTCGTAGGTAGAATAGTTCAATCCACCAATCAGAAACGAGGACAAAAAATCCAAAATTTCTATTCGACCCTACGAGTACGATTTCCGAACGCACCTTCGCATTAAATAAAATATGAATTTTAGCAAAGAAATCTCCGTGGACATTATATATTATTTTTCAGATCAATATCTTTGCGCTCTATTTCTTTGTAAATCTCGGAATTTTGTTTCTTAATAGCGAATGAATTTGTCCAGCTTTTGTCTGTGAAATATAATATTCAATTAGTACATATCGACAAACGAAGCAACTCGGTCGAGTTCAATGACCTCTGTTAATATAAAAGTACCGATGAATATTCGCGCGCATCTGACGTTTGACAGTCAGTTTTTTTAGAATCGCGAAAGTGCGTTAGAAATCTCATGATTAACAAAAATACGGAAAATATTTCATCTACTCTCAAAGAAACAATAATAATGTACACCGATCTTGGGAAAATAGCGCTGTCGCGCATCGCAAAAATTCGACAAAAATATTACAGAAGCCCGCGTTCTCTCCGCGGTTAATAAACCGGATTATTTACATTGTGTGGAAGATCAAGAACGGAAAAAAAAATCTTGCGGTGGAGAAAGATGGAGCGACGCACAAGTGGAGATCGGAAAAGGAAACAAATTTAAAAGGACGACCTTGAGATTCGATAGAACCAGATATACGTCATATCGTGAGAAGGACAGAAAACAGGAAGCAGCGTGTTCGGCGAGAGAGATTCGCGTGTGTTGCACGTAGCGAGTGCGAAGAGAGAGAGAGAGAGAGAGGGATAGAGCAAGTAAGAAGCGGACGCGCGCGCGCGCGCACGTGAACTCGTGCTCGTGTATGACATATACATCGCGCATCTCCTCGAGGTGTCTTGATCGCACCCGCAGGGTGTATGTGTGTATTTTTTTCGCGGTGTCACGTCACGTTTTTCAGTTGGAGAAGTTGCCCCGGTGATTTTCGGTGAAAAGCCGGAACGATCCACTTGGAGAGTGTAGTGTATTCTCTTCTCTCGACGACAAACGTTCTCGCATCGACTCGTCATCGTCCGAGGGAACGACGCGTCGTCGATCATCATTGCGACCGTTACGACGGAGGAGGAGCGAGAAAATGGCCGACAATTGGACGCAGAGTGTTGTTTGCCGGTAAGAAGCTGCGCTAGACGTTACGCGTCTCAAATCCTGGGAGCCCCACGCGGATGACGTTACCCTGTTCGTGATCGAGCTTCGCGGATAGAGAGATGCAGAGGTTAGCTGTCCGAGCAACACCGCGGACCCCTGACAATGCTCGACGGATGAATACAATAATATAAATATTGATGTTTCGCGAATATGTTAATTTGTATATTATGAAACGGTACGAATCTCTTAACGACTTTAAACACGACGCGAGCGTTTCTCTTTTCGTCCATAATTCCTTTCCTTCTATTTCTCATGTGACTAAATTGCATTTCTCGTTTTTCAGATACTTCAAAAATGGTGCTTGTCGCGAGGGAAACAACTGTCGATATCGACATGTACAAGCGACTAGGAACGACACAAATGTCAACGAGACAATGACAATTCCGAGTAACAGCCTTGCCTGCAATGTTGCTTGTCGCTTCTTCAAACATGGCTTATGTAAATTTGGCAATCATTGCCGCTTTCGCCATAATTCAGGTACTGCGGATAGCGATGTTGTGCAAACTAATGCGATAGAAAATTCTGCCTCGGGTCATACAGCAAACTCTTCGAAAAATAAGTAAGTTTGACACATTCAACGTCAAACATATCTTAGACTGACTGACTAAAAAGTCAGTCATTAGTAAACAAATCAATATTTATATTTATTAACATTGAAAAGATGATTATGTATAAATCTCTTCGATATAAAATGAATTTCTATTCATATCGTTGGGATTCTTTTGTATCGGAGAGATTTATATCTAATCATTTTTTCAATTTTAATAAATATAAATATTAATTTGTTTACTAATGTACTTTGATACACTTTTCTATTATTATTAAACATAATTACAATTTTACAAATTAATTGCATATTAACACATCATTGTATCACGGTTACCGATGACCTATGAGGCGTAAATAAAAAGTTTAATGTAGATCACTGGTGACTCATGATGGTGAATGTGCTATTTGCATATTATGCTGCATTAATTTGTGATAGCCCTTGTAAAAATTATAATACATTTGTTACAATATGTACATTAACAATGTATAATATTTGATTATAATCGCATTACATTTTTTTTCCATTTTACTAGATAGTATTTGCTTATTTGTTGTAGACAAACTGATAAACGTACTGCTGAAGATTGGGTAAAAGCACCTGAGTTTATACCTACAGCTGTATCTCCAGTTGCTGGATCATCTTCTACAGATGGAACATCTGCTTCGGGAACATCAACGAGTACATCAAAGCCAGTTTCGTATGCTCAAGCTGTTAATCCATCTGGTCAAGCTTCGAATCCCTCTTTAGAACCTTTGTGTCCATATGCAGAAGCAACTGGAATCTGTAGAAATACAAATTGCACATATCTTCACGGTGATATTTGCGAGTTCTGCAGCCGCTGCGCCCTTCACCCACACAATGAAGAATTAAGGAAGAAACATACAAATGTAAGCTCAAATTATTACTTTGCATATTAAATTTAAATTAAGTTATTTTTTATCTATTAAATTTCTATTTTTCTTTCGAGCCTTTAACTTAATATTTCTTAATGAAATTGAGATACATAAAATGAGATTTATAATAGTTAAAAATTTTCTTATTTACTTATTTAATTGTTAGAGATTTTCTTATTTACATTTTCCAATTCTATTTACAAAAAAGGAATTAGATTGTTTTTATTTTTTGCTTTGCTGACAGTGCTATTTTATTTGTCCCTTAGAAAGTCAAATTTTAACAAAAAGAATTTTATTGCTATTGTTAAGTGTTTGAGAAAACAATACTTTATGAATTATTCTCTTTATATATTAAATATTTTTAATTAGAATTCTAAATGGATTAAAAAATTATGGTTTGATAATTATCACAGGCATGTGTGAAACAGCACGAAGTAGATATGGAATTATCTTTTGCTATCCAACGCAGCAAAGAGAAATCTTGTGGCGTTTGTTTCGAAACAATAATGGAGAAGTCGTCGCGAGAACAAAGGTTCGGTATATTGCCGAATTGCAATCATTGTTTCTGTTTAACTTGCATCAGAAAGTGGCGTCAAGCAAAACAGTTCGACAATAAAATTATAAGGGCATGCCCGGAATGTCGTATTCCCTCGGACTTTGTTTGTCCTAGTATGTACTGGGTGGACACAAAAGAAGAGAAGGAAAAATTAATAAGGGATTATAAAGGCGCTTTGAGGTGAGTTTTAGAAATGTTATAATCGATCATAATTTGCCTCTATTTCAGTTCTCTAACATTTTGTTATATTTTTTATAGTACCAAAGATTGCAAGTACTTTAACAAGGGTCGCGGCAAGTGTCCGTTTGGTAATAAATGTTTCTATCTTCACGCACTTCCCGATGGGACTAAAAAAGACGTGGGCCCACCTGTTCGACAGAGGCGCAATACTGCTGATGCTGATATCGACATCTTGCATGTAAGTGTTACTTTCTTATTATTTGCAAAAATATATTTATTATTGATTCTCTTTGTCGCATTTAAAAATGTCGACAAATACGTTTTTGTCACGGGATAGCAAGCGATATAATATTTTCTCTGAATAAAAAATATGATCGAGCTACATCCTCATATACTTTATATTGCATTCTGATATAAGTAGAACGTGACGATACGGCTTTGCACTATTTGCAGCAACTGATCTTATGGGATTTCCTCGATGAAAGGGACGATCGTTGGATGTATCTCGATTTAGAAGATATCCCTTTCTTCTCAGATTCCGACGATTCCGATTGGTCCGATTATGAGTTGTCGTTCGATTAAGCAAGCAAAACTATTCGATCGACGCGAAACTGCCTTGATATCGCTGTTGTCATTGCTACTCTGTTGCTACGTCGATGCACACTTCCTTTACTATTTACGCGCGGCTTTAGCAACTAAGAAAATATTAAATAATTAGCAAATAATTTGAATAATTAATTCGAAGACGTTCTAGTGCTACGTAGAAGAAAAAAGAGAAAATAAGAAAAAATGTGCGCACTTTCCTAAAATGATAATTTATATATAATATTAGAAATGTGTAGTCGTGCAATTTAAATAATTGGGATATTTCTTTTATTTTATATTAGATAATTTCTATCAATTTTATTTCTATTTAAATCAAAAGTGATGGTAACAGTTATTAAATGTTATTAAAATCTAATATCTGTAATAGAAAAAGTAAAATAATAGTTTAATAATTATTACCTTTAATTGTTTTAAATGTAGAAATAATTTCTTTTAGAAATTATCTGTAAAAAAAAAATAAAAAAAACATCTCGATTATTTTAATGGCGATTTTACATTTGTCTAAATAATTACGAGATCAACAATTTCGCGGTGCATAGTCAGAAATAAAAAAAAATATAAAAGGGAAACAACATAGAGTGATATACAAGTGAAGATTTCGCTGGATATTCACTTTGGAATCATGTTCTTTGTGTGTCTTGACCAATGCTCTATTAACTGATTATTCTAGCAACTAAATTATTAATTCAGTGGTCCAAATTTCATCAATGAATAGTCTGTATATCAGTGATGTCCTTCTTCTCATAGAGTAATGTTGCTTTTTTTTCTATACTCGCGCGCGCGCGATACTAACTATTATTGTTAAAATATTCCATGCATGATCTGGAACACGTTGAATACACATTAAATCGAATTATAGAATAAGCGAATCAATAAATAACCGGAATTTTAGTGATTGTTCTCATGTCGAATGTCCTCATATAAAAAATTGCCTGCTTTTGTTTAGTAAGATATATGATCAGAAGTATACGTGAGATCAGGTGTGTCTCAAAATAGTTGCAAATTAGTTTAATTCTAGTTTCTTTTCAATTAAGGCTTCTCTTCGGTTAATGTGAGTTAGATTAGATTAGATTTACTCTGTTGTAATTTCAATAAACATTCGTCATTTATAATGATGCTAGATTATAATATGTACTTAATCAATATATAAAAACAGTTGAAAACGTGCTAATTGAATTTAAACAATATTTTGAAAAATGCAAATTTATCGTATATATCCATTTTACTGGATTTTATTTCAATTTGTAACATAAATATCCATGTATAGGGCATGATTCTTGTGATTGCAATATAATTTCGCGTTTAAAATAAAGGATAAATTCTATCGTATAGATATAATTCTGGTATAATTGATTGTATCAACCAAATGTGCATTACATTCAAATAAAATAAATAATAAACTTTTTTCATAAGCGGATAACTATTACGAAGTAATATTGCAGTTACAGAACATTCTATTTAATTATTACTCGTCGAAGGCTCGCAGCACTACTACTATTCGTATGTAAAATAGAAAAACTAGACAACGATTTATTACTTGTGTGTGATCAGTGTGCATTGTTAGTTCAATTTATCAATAGTTCATATCGAAGGTACGATCTACAAGAATCGTCCTACCTCTTGCTATGGCTCCGCGAATCTTTAATACATTTCTTTAAATTATTACAATTGTATAGCGTTATACTCGTGAATACTAGATATTCCTCTAAGACCTCCGAGAGCAAGTGTGCAAAGTGAATGTGACATATGTGTGGAATGCGAGCGCATTAATATGCGATATATTTGTGTGCGTGTATGCGAATGAAAGTAAGTACGAAAATATAAAAATATTTGCGAGAAAGAGACGGGCTACCGTTAGCAAATAAATAACAAATGTAATAAAAGAGATCGCTTTTCGTGGAGTATGTATTTGTAGATTCAAGGTTTAAGGAGACAATTAGGGAAATACGTACGACGGAGTTGGACCCACGACATAGAGCCATACTGGGAGAGAATATCAACGTCGCGCGATTGTTTTTACATTTTATCAATTTATTAATACTAGCAACACATGTTTCGACAGCCGTTATCTCAATATATAGAACCATGATAATTGCGCTTTGAAGGAATTATAGATTTCTCTTGCGTGAAATGGCTAAAACTGTCGAAATGGTATGTACGAAAAAAATACACATAAAATACGATATTCATGTTTTTAGCATTGAATATATTTTTTGAGATATCTTTTTTTTATAATTTTGTGTTATACGATCTATCGGCAATATGTTTATGACAAATAATATCGTGTTGTTCTAAACAGTTCCTGCTCGCTCTTACAACCCGATTCATATATCATTCTAAGGAGAAGTGACCAGTTTTTACAGCAGAGAGCCAGTACTGCCTTTCAAAAGCTATGTGATTATAGAGTAATATATATCGTTCATCATATAAAAGTTTGTTTCTTAATCCGCCTCAATAAACCGTTTTATCGAATCGAATTTTCGCTAAGCTGAATATCGTTTACATTTTCCATAGAAAATTCTATGCTGTTAATTTTATCGACAATTGTTAGTATAAAACGCTTATATTGTTATTCGTAATGTTTATATAGAGCTTTCTATGAGATACGCTGTGCGTTTTAAGCGACTATTTTTGGAGCTACTTTCTTCAAATAATCATCAACTCCCCGATGTGAAGAAAATAAAAATATATAAATGCTTTGAGCAACTTCGGATTGTGATAGATAGTGGAATTTACATCATTAAGTTGAATCTTCTGTTTTATGATGATTTTGAGAAGGAAAAAAAAAATTCTTCATGATGCTTTGTTATCGGTACGTTCAGTATCACATGTATTATAGGCAAAAAGTTAAATTTACTGCGTTGATTATTGTACGAATTTACTCTCGTCGTTACTATTTTTATCTCTTTCAAGCGTACTATCATTTACTGCATTGTCATGTTCTAAATGCGTGCGACGCAGAAGGAGATATGTAAAGTTAGGAATTGATGTTTATAAAATCATTCAATGCAGTTCACTTTAACTTTGACGATACGGAGTTAACTTTGGAGTTTACTCTTCCTTTCTCTCTCTCGCATAGTATATAACAAGTTTAAAGTCAATATTCTATTACGTGTGATTTTTGTTGTAATAACTCGAAGACTATAAAGAAGATTGAATTATTGTTTCTGAACGAGATAGTGAATGATAAGACGATATTCTTAATATTTCAATCTCATTCTCAGGATGGTTTTAAGCTAATTTAGAAATCGTAGAATTTATAAAACAGCCGCGTGCGTTATATGTTTCTGCGTACAGAATTCAATTGCCAAAATTTTCTCGCAAGAGTTTGCATTAATGCCATTTAATCATACTAAATGTACCTGCATTGAATACTGTATTGCGTACCGATGAGTATTATTTTTTCCTCTCAACAAACTGAATATGCTTTACAAATTGCGATTTTATTCATATAAAATTATATAAATGAGATTGTGAATATCTCGAATAATTCTTTCTCTCTCTTTTTCTTAGCTTATAGTGTATGGTTTTCTTTAGGATACTATTGTGTCGAATATATTATTTTATTTTTATTTTATTTTCAAGTATATTATATATATTTATTTTTATTGTGTATATTAAATGAATGTTTTGTCGTGTGTTGAAAATGCTCTCGAAGAGTTTTTTGCGAAATTAAAGTTGTAACATATATAAGTTTTAGAGTAATTTTTGTTCTTATTTTTTCAAAAATTTCTGTAATTACTTAATTCTTATATTTTTGTAATTTATCATGTCGCAAATCTGCTTATATTACAATAAAGGCTCCGTAAAACGGATGTATTATTGAAATTGAAATGTTTATTTGCTAAGTAAAGCTCTACCATGAGAAAGTAAAATTGATGCGGAAAACATTTTTGTGTCACAACTTGTCTCTTACGTCTTCGATAGATTATTACGAATGTTTTTTAAACAATAAAATATATATAGATTAAGAAAATTGTATTTTCACTACATGAAGCACAAATTGCGAACAAATGTATCCGCATTATCTATTATTTCTTTTTTATATAAAAAAAATTGCAAGTTGATTATATCAATAAGAAATAGCATAAGAGTTCTTTTCTTTTTTCCCTTTTTTCTTTTTCTTCTTAATTTTTCTTATTTTTATCGATAAATAGAATTGTATGAAATTGTCGCGTATGTCGCGTTTACTTTTGCATCGTATCTCGACGCGTTGCAGGTAAAATATACTTATAGTCCAAATGTGTTCAGTAGTTTTTCGATAATATTTAATTAAAAAGTGCATATTTGCCGAAATTTATTTCGAAATGTTAAGCATTAAGCTTAATAAGATGCAAGCTTAATAAGATTAAGAATAAACTACATAATCAGTATTGTTGCACTTATAAAAAGCAACAAAACTCTGTCACAGCGGATTGTAAATGACAAATGTGTCTTTCATATAATACGCTTGCTCATGATAGATGTAAAACTGATTGTTTCTTATATCGGGAATACTATAAATTCGACGAAGGAGATATAATGAGGTATTAATTGAGCAATTTGCATACACATAATGCATTAGAAGATATGCAGCACGTTTTTCATGTGTAGGAAAGTACACGAAAAACATGATTAATAAAAAAAAAACACTTTTTATTATTGATAAAAAAAGAACGCAAGAAATATTTTTTCGTTGCACAGTCTACTTGAGATATTTATATCGCCGATTTAACATTTAAACTCTTCCCTTTCTCTTATCGAGGGTCCGCCGTCAGTTTCGCGTCCCTTCACTTTTAATAAAATAGAAGATCATTATTATTATTAAGAAAATCTATATAATATTGTTAGAAATGACATACAATTCGTTTGTCTCGTGCGCAAATTGGATCGATCTCTGGTGTGTTTTTCGATACTTCTTTCACTGTGACTCAATATAAATCGTCCAATTATCAGCAACTGTAATGTTGTTATATCGTCGTTGTATGATTAATGAGCTTGTCTGGTTATTGTATAAATAAGAGAGGAATTATAATCATTACCCCGTTTGTTTTAAACGGTAGAAAAAGAAATCAATAGTCATCAGTGGATATGTATATTCATAGAGTCTGGTGGTGAGGAGATAAAGCGATCCTATCTTTAATTTCGTTTTTTACGATGATATATTTTTGTTATTGGATATGTAGATTAATAAAATTCCGAATACACTAAGTATGGAAGAAGACAACCTTTCTCTATTGTCCTTTTAATTCCTCAGCCATTTTACAGTTTGTGAACAAACTTTTCGAAAAATTACTTTTATGCATATTATAAATGTGTGCCTTTATTTTTTTTTAATATTTATTCTTTCTACAATTAGGTATGCTGATTCTAATAAAATATGTTTACTTTCTTGTAGGCAGAGGTAGACCAAGTTTTTCTGCGAAGAAAATATTTTATTATAGATTTGGTTCTCTCTCTCTCTCTCTCTCTCTCTCTCTCTCTCTCTCGCAAATTAATTAGAAACTAATATTCTATAATATCAAGAAAATACATGAGCTTATATTTTTGTTATATTATTAAAAAAATCTTACTTCAAAAAATATTGAAAATTGAATATAATTAATGCTTTTTCGCTTTATTGCACATTGTATCTTGCACTAATATGATTATTTAGCGATTTTTTTTTATTTTATCAACAAATATGGACTTGTGTATCGGAGCATTTAGTTTAAAATATCACAGATGGCGACTATGGTCTAATTTATTTATAATTTTACGCACATTGGTGTTTTAATTATTTATCAGATTATTTACATATCGAAATATGATGATTCTGTTTGCAAGCATTGTAAAATGTATACTTGAAAAATGGAAAATATGTATATGCGTTTAAAAATTAAGACAGCACATTGTGAAGTAATATAAAAAATAATTTTGTTAAATATAAATAAAATATCGCAGTTTGTACAATAGAATATACATCTATGTATATATAAATATATATATATATATATATATATATGTGTGTATATATACATAACGATAAAAATAATACAAGATATGTAAAGCGGATATAACAAACATGAAGAGATGTTTCTCGCAGCAAAATGAAAAGTTTAAAATGCGTGAATACTTTCTCTTATTTAATATTTGCAATATTTTGTATTATATGTTTTCTATGTGCTGCGTAAGCAATTTTAAAATATTTAACGCATAAATATTTTTCATTCACTAGTGAATAATGCTTAACGAGTAAACACGGTAAAGCAAAACATATTTTTTCTATTTATTTTATTATTAAAATATAAGAATTTCTTTATTAAAATATAAATTCTTTTTACTATCGTGATTTTAATTAGCCAGAATAAATCACTAATAAATTTTAATGCTAAAAAATATTGCTTAATTGCAAAATTGTAATTTTGCACGCACGCGACAAACACACTCATACACTGAAGTAATTTTTTAAAATAAGTTACTTTATCATTTAAAAAAATTTTAGTTAAATATCATATACAAGATATATGACCGGGCTTTCAATATATGTTCCATTCAGTATTTTTACATTCTTTTTATTCAATAGCACATGGGAGATCGGATTATTTGTTACACTCATATATATATATATTTTTTTTTTTGAATGTGCACACAGCTAAATTGGAGATATATTTGCTTATAATTTTTAAATATCCTTATTAAAAGGAAAAAAATCTAAAAATTGTCCGCAGCTTCGGTAAGATATACTCGAATCCAGTGCCCTAATAAAAAGTTAGAAACTCACTTTATTTTCGTATTTTGAATAGAAAACCGGGGGAAAAGTCACGATTGACGGGGACAATACGGGTTAGGCAACGAGGTGCATTTTTGCGGAACACCTGGAATCGGATTTGTCCAATTGACGGAATTTCGTGGAGTTGCGGCACACGGTGCAGCAACAATGTTTACGTCGCTCGATTGTGCGAGACGGCGCGACTTTGTCGTGTCCGGGATACGGGCTTGGTCAAGCTCTCGCGGATTCGCGACGGTTAACTAGAACAGGAAGTTAATCCCGACGAGCACGGCGAATTAGCATATAAATTCGCCGAAATATACATATATAGGTCCAGTGATATATATACGCGGATATCGCGGGGATCGCTTTGAGTCGCAAGAACGCGCGTGTCTCCTCTTTGCGGTTTTGATTCATTGTGTCCTCTTTGTGTGCCTCGATGTTTGCACGAATATTTGGACAAGGCGTATCAACGACACGTTTACATTATACGGTTACATATTTCTACGAAATATATCTCTGTCTGATCTCTCTAATTGTCGCCGCGCGGACGCAAACATTTTACATTCAGATTGCGCGGCATTGTATGCGCATGCAATCAGGAAATGCAGTTAAAACTCGCAGTTCTCATAAAATAAAAAATTGCCAATTGCGTTTATTCGATCGGAGAACACTTTTTGTATGAAAAAGCTCCCATAGACTAGTTCACAATAAAACCCTGTTTTGAGATATTGTAAAGTTATCGTTGAATTATATTTCATTTTACATATCCCTTTAGAGATTTTCCGAGATTTCAATTAAATTCGAAGCAAATACAATAAAAAGTATTGCTAACGACAGTTGTACCATATTATACAATATTGTACAATTAAATTGCGATTGATCCAAATCGTTTAAATTACTGAAATGTAATGTATTTATTGAAATCTGATAAATCTATTGAAATCTATACAACAGACGGTAGAACTGAACCAATTCAAAATCGAATATACAGCTCAAATCTCATTGTTGCGCTTATCTGCGGTATTGTTCGTCATGTACGTGCACACACATTTTATATTAAAAAAAAAAGAACATTGCGCATTAATATCACTCATCTCAATTTAGCGTTCGAAATGTCGTTGCAGCGCGTGTTATGGCTCTTGATGTTCTGGACGGTGGTTGTTCTGGAGTTCTTGCGATACGTGTGGATTCGCACGACCGGATTATTTATCTACGGTTCCCAAGAACGACGTGCGACGACGACGGTCGACGAACCTAATTACGAGCGAAGGTAGGTTCGCGGGTTAAACTAGAAGTCTAATTAAATGGTCGCCCGTGTGTGTTTACGCTACTTTCAGAAACCGTGGACGGTGGTGGAAAAAAAAAACACCAGGAAAAAAACGCGTGACATGCACCGACATTACGGAAGGTGTTTGCTCGGATTCGCGCTCATACGAAATGCGTTTTGAAGGTATAAGCTGGTAGCTTAAAGCGCGGTAAAATGTGCGGTGGTTAAATTTACCGTGAAAACAGGGTATCAACGAGAGTAACGAACGTAGAGAAAGGCACTGCACTGTCTTTACACCGTTCCCAAAACCATGTTTCTTTCGTGGGTGCGTTAGAGAGAATTGCAGGGTGATTAGTCTCTTAAAAGTAAACTTATAGTTGTAAGCTTGTATAAGCTAAGTATATAAGCTTGATCCTTTAACTTTGTGTAAAATTATACTTTTATGCTGCATTTTTGTTGCACGAGCATATAAAGTTATTGAAATTATAATTTTTCCATATCGTGTAAAGTTTCTTCTCTTTCTCGTCCAACGAGAGTCTAATCTCTCGGGCCGGCTTAAATTAATTCGAATTTAATCTGAATAAATTATACGTTTAATTCACGATCGTTTAAAATATTTAAGAGCACGGAATGTTTATTTCTTTCTCTCGGTAGAAGATCGTGAGCTCGAATTTCTCTGTAAAAATGCGGGAAGTAAATTCGGACAGTAGTGGGTTAATGGGAAAAATCTCAGAATCCGGACGTAAAGAAAACCTGGATGGGGAGAGGGATATTATAGGTCGAATAGAGCCAAGTAGAAAGAGGAAAGAGAAAAGGAAAACAGCAGGCAGGGAATATAAAATCGGTTTCTCTGTCGAATCTATCCAGGATTTCTAAATTGCCTCTGTTTGTTTCGCAAGCAAAGAAGCGCTGTCGTGCATCAAAATGGTCGATCGGCACATCGATGTCTAATATATCGAGGAATCCTCTCTCTTTCTCTCGGGTTGATCGTGACCCATCGACTCGATGTTGATTCACCGCGTTTGCGAACTGAAAGCTCTTTCGGCCGATCGACGGGAAAGATAAAAAGGAGTAGGATAAAGGATATTAGCGATAAAGACTTGAAATAGAGCATTTGTGCTAATGAACGTTATCCCATTCATCTGTGAGATCTGCGTGAGAGATGAAATTATATCTAATATATTTTAAAACTATTATGATTATATAATCTAACATTTGATAAATTATATTTTTTTATTTTATTACTTTACGTTTCAGAAATATTTTTCGTTATTCTATATGTAGCAATATAGGAGAAATATAATATAATCGTACAAACATGTATTTTAATCGAGATATATAGGCTTTTAATTTGATCAATTGTTTTTATTTGTTATCGAGAATATTATCGAGATTGCCGTATTTATTGAGACATATGTGTGATTATAATCTTTTTCTATATAGTTTCAGATCAATGGCAGATACATTGGGTAACAGGCCACGTGCACGTTTAAATGTCAATGTGTATCACTTTCGCGGTATCTCGTCGTCATAAAATTGCCTCCAGGACATGCTCTTCTTTTTCTTAATTGAAAAAACTTTTACTTTCTGCTATCGTCAATAACGATGACGAATGACGAATCTCGGAAATATCGAGAAGAAATGATGTGCGATCAGATACACATATATTGATACGATCGCATATCGTTGTGCATGAGTGTCGATATATAATAAACGATAATACGTAAATATTTGCAATGACATACGAATCGCAATCGAACGAGACGACATTACGCCATTACATCGTCGCAAACATCAGTTAGCGTCGAGACGCGATCGAAATCGCTCCGTATATTTTTCGTAATTTCACCGGGAATAGAGTGATGCGGCTAGAAAGCGCGGAAGGATCGATCGCGAAATTACGGTATCGCCGGATTATCGTAAGCTAGTCGCAATGTTATTCTAATGTTTGTAACAATATTTGAAAAAAAATCTCCGTCGCGAACGATGCGATGCAAAGTACAGAGCTGTCTATTTTGCATCACATCCCGCGACATTGAGTAAATAAATTCTAATAAATATATTGTTTCGATCATGCGTCTCTCAACAGCGAAATTTAAATAAATAAATTGCGAGTTCGAAACTGGATGCGCATTCTTTCCGCAGTTGTCTTCATCAATTTTTTTTCGATATCATTTTAATATGAAAAAT